CCTAGAAAAGTAGGAAAACCCTGATTCCAAACCAATGGTGCACATGGGCTCCAGTATCCTGAGGGAACAGATGGCGTATGAACCAATCGTTGGTCACCGGCTACCATGGGACTGCATCTCCTTACAATGCTCCACTGCCTTGTGGATTAGACCTTTAGGTCAAAGGCTCTGGGTGTGACCCCCCAAGAAAACCACCTGCTTCAGTTTGTGCACCTGAGCGGTATCACAGCCCTCACACAAGTCGAATGAGATTTGTGCGGCGCGTATGTATCTGGTGCTTCTTTGTACCAATATTTATGTGATTAAATAAATAAATAATAAATTGTTATTCAAATTGAAGATTAGATAAAACAAAAAACTGTCGTAATAGAGTATAGATTCATTCATTTCTCGGTTCCTCGTCATTTGCTTACAGCTTAAAGATTATAGGAGTTAAGAGATACTTCAAAAATAAATTGACAGTATAAGCCCAGACGTCAAGGATGCAGATCATCATATCTGTTAGCATGGTTTTCCAAAAGTGCTCAAACTTAGTATTTTCATCATACCAGAAGTGTTGTTATTATAACGTAACTCCTAACATCAATTTTGTAGAGACTTGCCTTACATTAAATTTTTTTAGAATATCCACATTACTAAAAATAAACAACCAACCATGTGAACACCTGTAGTTTTTATGTATTAATTACTTTTTTCAATAATCTTTGATAAGTATTTCTGTTAATATGCTATGAATTATGTACATTCGTTTTTAAATAATTGAGTTGTAACCATCTGAGGAGAATCTGCAACATAAATTCCACTTATTCAGTTGTAATAGCTGTTCTTGCTCTTTACAGAAGGGAAAAGTCTTATGTAATTAACTAAGAACTCTGGACCACTACCTTCGGAAATATCTCTATTAACTGATCAGCATGATAGTCTTGTCTCTAATTCGTTATGACTCCACTTAACTCAGAGTTAAAGACAAAATCTCGATATTCTGTTTAAACAGTTTATTAGTAGTGTACAAGTAAAGGGTCATTGTAAGTCAGCTGAACTGCATTTCTGAGTCTCCCATTTAGTCTCCCACTTTAGTCACTTGATGTAACAATGGGTAACTGATCTGTCTTCTGATAAAGTCGTTGTATCGTGCTTTTAGGACGATACAATGAAACATGCTTTTTTTCTTAGAATCTAAACTTCTACATCCTTCAAATTTTTTTCTATCACCTCACTAATTCACATTCTCGTAGGATTGCATCTCGGCTGCGTGGTTATTATTATCATTAATCGTGTTACTGCAGCTTTTTATTTTTATTTAAACACATATATTGGTACAAAAGGGCACCAGGTACATATGCGCCACACAAAATAATGAAAGTAGGAAAAGAAGGGATGAAAAGATAAGGCAGACTGAAATGTACAACCAGAAGACTCTTTCAGTTAAGAAAGTTAGAACCATTCTTTATGTAGAAAGTAAAAGAAGGTTGTAGCAGGATCGCCACTGGCTTCTATTCTGAGCCATATCTGATAACGTCTCTAGCCACTGTGTTGCACCATCTCTCGGACCCCAGCCAGGGAGTCGTGAAGGACCAACACAAGCTAGCCCTTTGCAGCTTTCTTTCATACAACGACACCATGTCATACACTGACCTCCTCTCCGCTTTTTCCAACCAGTCCCAGAGTCGGCAAATAATGCACGACGTGGAATTCTCTGGGACGACATTTATTGAACTTGTCCAAACCACCGAAGTCGGTGTTTCAAGATGGTGACACCAATTGGATTATCGTCTCTGCGCCCGAACACACGATGCCGAACCTCTGCATTACTAACATGGTGTTGCCACTGGATGTCAGCAATCCTTCGGAGACAACGATGATCGAACACAGAGAGACGTCTAACATCCTCAACTCGGAGAGACCAGGTTTCACAAGCATAGAGCAAAACTGCTCTCACCGACGCGTTGTAGATCCGACCTTTTACAGCCAGACTAACATCACGAAGGCTCTAAAGAAGGCCCAGATTGGCATAAGCCGCTCTGGCTTTCATTATACGTGCATCAATCTCATCACTCACGCCACCACCAGCACTTATATAGCTACCTAGATGCACGAACTTCTCAACTACTTCTATCTGCTCACCATCCAGGGTGAGTACAGGATGAGAATCCTGCCAGTCTTGTAGGAGTACTTTGCACTTGGAGGGTGCAAAGCACATGCCGTACCTAAGGACACTGATTACCAACTGATTAAGTGGGGATTGCATGGCTTGAGCATTATCGCACAGTAAGACAATATCATCCGCATACTCAAGGTCGAGAAGTCGTTCTCCAGGCAACATATCCACACCGCCATTACTTACATCCATCAGAGCAGTTTCCAGGATGTCGTCGATAGCAAAGTTGAAGAGGAATAGTTTGATCGGGCAACCCTGCCTAACCCCACTGCTCGAATGGAACAAGGGAGAAGGGTGGTTGTATGCCTGCCCTCACTCTGCCTGAGGTGTTCGTGTACAGGGCCTTTAAGATGTTAATAAACTTCTCAGGCACACTCTTCTTCAATAGACAATCCCAGAGAACAGTCCTGTCCAACGAATCGAAGGCGGCCCTGATATCAAGAAATATACGATTGTTGGCCTGCGATAAGTATGACGGTGTTCTAACATTTGGCGGAGGGTGAAGATGTGATCAATGTATCCTCGACCAGAACGAAAACCAGCCTGTTCCTCACGAGTCAATCGTTCTCGGATTTTAAACAACCTACGAAGAATGATAGAAGCCAATAGTTTGGACGCAATCGGAAGTAGACTTATCCCCCGATAGTTATTGCAGGAACAACGTGAACCCTTTTTAAAGATAGGGACGACTATTGACTCATTCCATGATGTTGGAACACTTTCTTGTTCCCAAACGTTTGCAAACAACACAGTCAATTCCTTAGTCAGAAAGTCACCACCATCTTTAAAAAGAGCCAGAGGTTAGTCATCTGGGCCCGATGATTTGTAACGTTTCAAGAGTTGGAGTTCCTTGCGAACTTCCGCCTCGTTTGGTGGATCAGTCGTCACCGGTCATTGGGGGCAGGACAAGCTGGTTGATGTTGCCGGAGCAGCAGGCCAGTCGGACTGCCCTTCGAAAAATTCCGCCCATCGTCCAAGACGTCGAGAGATGTTAGTGATTGGCATCCCGTCATCCTCGTAGATTGTTTCACTCACACCAGACTTCTTGCTGCCAGTGGCTCGGATGAGTTGGAAGAGCTTCCGGCAGTTACCAGATGCAGCTGCTGCTTCCATCTCATTAGCACGCTCCGACCACCAGGCTTCCCGGTCCTTACGCAAGCTTTGCCCGATTTCATTACGTAACAGCCTTCGTTTGTGGTCAAACTCACAGTCACCCGGAGTAGACCGACTGGCTTCGATCAGTTGTAAGGAGCCAGAAGAAACCCAGTGCTTGTAAGCGGGACGTTTCGCGAAGCCGCAAGCGGCTTTACTCGCCGTTTTCATGGCGTCGTGAAGATGCAACCAATGTTCATCTATACTTTTCGGTGGGGTGTTAGCTAGCCTAGAGGCTAGCTCCGCTCGATACTTACTTGCAACAGAAGTTGCAGCCAGTTTACTAACATCAATCCGTTGGTGGTGGTCAATCCTTCGGCCACTGAAAAGTAAGGTGAGATTGGCGCAGACCAGGGCATGATCAGACTCCAGATAGGTACTCCAAAAGGAGCGGCAGTCTTGTACACAACCACGCCAGCGGTAGCTGATCGCGATGTGATCAATCTGAGTCCAGGCTTGGGATGCAGAGGGAGGACGCCAGGTGGCACACCGGCGATGACTGTGCCGGAAGTTAGTGCTGGCCAGAAGCAGGTTGTGGTCTGTGCACAGTTGCATTAGACGGTCCCCGTTATCTGACCTGCGACCAACAAGTCCCCATCGGCCACCTAAACGACTCTCTTCTGTGCCTAGACGCCCGACCTGAGCATTCAAGTCTCCGGCTAATACTACAATATCTGTCGAACGCGCTTTCTGGAGAAGAACTGTTAACTGATGGTAAAATTCATCCTTGATTGCATCCGGGCTGCAATCTGTCGGGGCATAGGCGGAGATGACGAAAAGACACCGTTTCTCACGCCGATTTCTTCTCACTTTGATGGAACTTTCTAATCTAACAACACATAACCGACTGTTAATGGGGATCCAATCGATTAGTGCTGCCTCAGCCCTAGCGCTTAGTGCGACACCAACGCCAGCAAGACCAGACGAAGATGCCACAGGGTCCCCGGATAAGCGCACGTGAAACAAGCTTTTCGAGGCGACTGCAGCTACTACTCTGAGATCTACCTTGATAACCTCGTCTCACTTTGCTAATGGGGTGTGTTAATTTGAACTGATGTGCACATGTGTCAGGTTCTATTTCGGGTTTGACTAACTGATATATATTTTACAGTCTTATTGAATGTTCAAAAACTGCTAAATGGAAAATCATCCACAAAAGCTTACGATCCTTGCGTGAATTTTCGTCTCTTAAGTTACTTTCCAAGCTCCGTATTTTTGTTGACTGTCACGTCATATTCCTTTTATCATTTTGGCACCTCCACAGTGCCAATTACTAATATTGTTTCAAAGGTTTATACCAAGAAGTTTACTTTATTTGGTCAGGTTTTCCTTAGGATTTGCTGCCGTTATTCATATATTCGTGGTCAAATTTTGGTCTTAATATGTAGGTGAAAGCCTTCAAACTAACTAGCAAACGTTTGTTGATAGTTTATGTAAATTTACTAGAGTCGATTTTTGGAATGATAAGTAGAACAAACGGCAATTTATCTTGACTTCGTGTAACGTATATTCCAATATTCCAACGTATATTCCAACCTAAAGTTTTATTGGTGACTTTATCAACCGTAATTATGACATTATATTCAATCTAATAGGTGAATGCTAGTCGCAATTTTTGTCAACCGTCAAAAATTCTAGAACTGGCTCGATTTTTGTTATGTTCTATCATCCAGCTTTGTTTTTTCCTCAGATACTATATCCTGTGGGCGATCCAGGACATACAGTAAGCTCTAATCACAGTCCAGCATATCCCAATCCCGTCACTTCTCAGGGCGAAAACCATCGTTTCCCTTCTAATGCAACTCATCCTGTTTGCCGTAGTATTTCGCATCAGAATAGTCCAGCTGTGATTTGCAGTCCACATAATCCAAACAATACCACCACATCTGTTTCTAGTGCATCACATCAAACTTGTGTCTCTCTATCTCAGTATGATTTGTCGTCACGTCAAGTTGACAAGATCATCGAAATTTTGGCTGAACAGGCTCACTGTCAAAGTACAACTGAGGAATATAATTTCAACAAAAATGTATCACTTAGCTCTAGCAGATTACCAGAAAATTTAAAAGGATCCACATCACCTGGACATTCAACCCGAACATTCATTTCACAGACCCTTCAAACCAACCATTCTTGTAAGTGAATTTATTCAATTTATTCTTCAAACTTCATATTAAGTATTGACCAGCCCCTTAGTGTAAGCGTTTCTAATAAATTGAATACTTTTTTCAGTGGTGATTATTTGTGGAATTAGTTTCCACATTAAGTACTTTGATTCGTTTAAATTGTTTCATCCCCGTCTCGTTTATTACATTTACTGGCATTACTTTTATCATTCTTGCAGACTGAGTTAAGTAATTTTAAGTTTATTAATTTCACTTCATTCAAAAACAAGTGGACAGTATTAATAATATCAATCTATACGTTTTAAAGTGGTTGTCATCGTACAGCGCTTACAAACTAATTGGTTTCGCAACCAATATTGTGGTTGTAAAACGTGACTTTCGAAAGTAGGTTTTCAGTGTTTTATTAAATCTTTTCCAAGTATTGTTATACATATTAAGGCCTTTAAGTGAGTAATGCTAAAATCACGCGTAAGGCAGACAGACTGAAAATGTTCTTAATCCTCCATCGATTTGACAAATGAGACCTGTGTTACGTTTGTTTCACCGCTATTCATGTATATAAGTTATACTGGCCTACGTAGAACCATATTGAAAAAGTGAGAAGCGGTTGAACTAAGATAAGATTAACACTTGTTGCTTTCCATCCGATTTAGTTTTGTACACTTCTAATTAATATGCACTATTCACGGCAAATGTATCAGATTTCACCACAGCGGTTAAAATAATTACATTCGAATGTTGCAATAAAGCTAATCGATTTATACGTTTACGAAGTACATTTTATCCAGATCATTAAATAACCAAAAATAAACCATCGTGAGTCAGTTATTCAGTATTGGTATAATTTGACTGACTAGTTTGTTTCGTTTTTCGTACTATACATTCTAGTGAACAGAGATTCCGTAAATCCTAACACTCGATCACAACACACCCAGTTAAATGACCTTGTACAGGTTCTTAAAGCAGCTCTGCATCACCATACTTCCAACCATATATCTGTAGATTCTGCAACATCCGTACAGTCAAATAATCGTCTCAATACTTGTCCACATTTAAATTCAGATCTTCCTGTCAATAAAAAAGGTTAGTTTAAATGAATACTTGTTTTTATAAACAGTCATGCTAGATTGGGTATTAATTGTTACAGCAAGTACTTTGAATGTTTTTAGCCAACCTCTGTGATTTCGGTATTACTTTTCTGTCTACTAACGTTCACCACATCCTCATAAATCAGGTATGAAAATAATTTGTCACTTGGTTATATTCTATCTGTTTATGTCACATCATGTGTAATCTGCAATTGTGTAAATAAAGTCTCAGTAATAAGACATGGAAATAATTTTGTACGCTTTATTAGCTGGTCCATGACTTTGAGCTGTCTATATACAAAAGCGAGATTCAAGTTCATTCCATTACAAAAGTTTGCTTTCTATGGTTGTCACCGTTCTTACACTACCACATCCTTTATGTTTGTAGAAAGGAGTTTGATTAGGTGTCTAGTTTATTATAATCTTTTCAGGTTATCAAGGTAATAGTCAGATCTATAAAGTCAGTTGTCTTCGATAGTCCCGAATCTCGGAACCTTACCTTTTATGGAATATGATGTAGTATTATCTGTGGTAAATAAATCAACAACGTTTATGTCACCTTTGCTTTAATAATTTAAAGTTGAACCATTAATCAATCTAGAAAATATAAATTTGTTCATTTATATGACCGTCCTCACCCACATAGTGTCCTATGCGCTTCCAGCGTCTTTTACCAATGCCTTCGTCACCTGAAAGCTGATTTTTTTCTCTAACAGTACATTATTGCTAATGCTCTCTGGACAATCGATCTGGAGTATCTTGCGTAGATAGCTTTTTACAAGTACTTTTGCCCTTTTGGTGGTGGTTGTGGTGTCTCAAGTTTCACCTCCGTACAAGAGAACCGTTTTTACGTTAGTGCTGGAAGTTGGACTTTGGTAATGACAGGAATTTGTTTTAATTTCCTGATATTCTTCGATCATAGGTATGCTAGTCTTGCTTCGCTAATGCATGCTTCCAAATCTGCATCAGATTCTCCTTACTTATCAATGATATCCAGGCGTGTCAAAAGCTTCCACCACTTCCAGAGCTCCAAGTTTGATTTAGATGGTGCTCACTGAGTTGTATTTCAGGATCTTGCTTGTTTCCTTGTGTATGTTGAGGCCAACTACATCTGCTGCTACACTGGGTGTCTTCACCTGTTATGTAGAGAATAGAAGAGCTAGGTCATCCACGAAGTCCTAAACGTCTACCTGCATGCAAGCTGTTCATTGTTTCCCATGCTTCTGAAATGTGGAGGTCTCTTCATAATCCAACCGACCACTAAAAAAATAGAAAAGGCAAGAGTAAGAAGCCTTGTCTGACTCCGGTTTTCACTTGGAGTGGATCTATCAGCTGCCTTCAATGCACAATTTTGCAATTCAGTTCCCCATTAGAGTTCCGTATGATGTTGATGATCTCAGATGCTCTGAATTGTCTAAGAAGACTCCACAAACTTTATACATTGTTGAATGCACTCATAATCAAAGTTAATCCATAACTAAACGACACGTTCCTTCCAATCAATCGCTGAACAGTGATCGGAAGTGTTGCGATTAGACCGGCACATGATTAGTCCTTACGAAACCCAACTTGTTGGTCTCGAAGTTAGATGTCTGTTGACTTGTAGTAGGTACATTAGCTAGATTTAGGATTTTGTACTAGAACACATTGGGCTTCGAAGCAAAAGCAATAGTTTCCTGATATCAATGGGTTTCATCAATTCATGACGAGGTTATCAAAACACCTCTCACAAAGTCTTTTCTGTCCAAATTATGTCTAATCGGCTTCGCGTATTCAAAGCAGAGCTAGGCTATATCTCCTCATTTCCTTAGCCATTTGAATGATCCTCTTGGTTTCATACATTGTTCGGTCATTCCACGTACCTGTGTTAATTGTTGCTTTGATTATCAGAAGGGGGACCGATCTAGTGTTATCTTAATGTCAAATCCCACCATGAGGCATCATAGCTCTCTCCTCGATAAAAGCTGTTCAACACCCATTTCAGAGTTTAGCTGGTGAACTAAACGTGTCGTGACTGAAGCTCTGAAGATGACAAGCAGTAGTAAGTAAGAAAAGCAGTAGGTATAAGAGTGACAGTGATAATTAACGGAAAGCAGTTGTTTAGACATACTGAGGAAATTAATTTTGGCAAGTCAATAAAGTCAATAAAAGGAGGATGGACCAGTTGTCCACCATTAGAACAGGTGAATGTAGTGATCACTAAGACAAATAGAACTGTTTTGGATGTCAGAAGCGAATGCATCGTCTATTTGTGATCAGACGTATTATTTCAGTTTGTTAGACATGATAAAATATTTTTTTCGTTGTTTCCTGAGCAAATCCAGTTTGACTGTAGTGTAACAAGGACATTACTAACAGTTACCTAGCGACAATGTGATTTTTAATTTTTACATATAGCTGTGCAAAAAATATAGTATGAATCTTCTAACAAATCATCTGTCTTTCGTACATTTCTTCCTCCAATTACCAACCAAGTTATCTTTAATTCTAACTCAAAAGACTTAAATTTTTAATCAAAAACAATCATAGATAAATTTATGTATTTCCACAATGTCTCACAGTATATCATAGTAGTAATTTGTCCTGGACTAAAGTTAAATAACTGAACTGTCTATTTCAAGCTACAGTTTAGTTTTATATTGCACCTGTAAATCCATACACAGCAAATTTGATTAATTAGGTGGTTAGAGAGTTGTCAACTTATTGACAGTTGTCTGAGAGTTACTATATTGGTTACTTCAGATGCACAAACCTCGAAATGTAACTGGATTCTGGTGTAATTCATGGTCCGGGTCGATGGATTACTAAGCTTGTTTGTCGGATTCGACTGTACACGTCAGCTAGATGGTTCTGACGACATTAATGACAATAAAAGATAGCTTTTCCTGAAGCACGGAGGGGAGTTTCTGTTCAGCATATGCATTAATGTTATTTCATTTCCTATGATTCATTATTTACTCGTAAACCTACTATTATTTTTTTGATAAACGCAATCAACATTGATATTGTGAGTGGGTCCTTTTCACAAGTAGTTAGTCAATCTGTTTTGATAAATGTAATGTCTTTTCAGTTCTAATGTTTTATGATAAATAGTGGAATATATGCAAAATATTATATGCGTGTTGAACAACACAATTACATCAGTATACTTATATTTTTATTTTATTATATTCTGGTAGGTCTTGAGAACAAAGATGATATCTCTACGACAACTCATGTTAGCCCTACCTTTCCATTACAGAGCGGGTAAGTTCGCTCCATTTAGAAAGTATTGCCACTTCCCTGTCCACTCATGATATAAGGAGTACCACTTTTAAATGGCTTACCGTAATTTTCACCACTTAAATTCCCCTATTTAGCTGAGACACTTTTCAATATTTCGGGACATATTCCACCTACAGGTGTTCTGAAAATTAGATGGTATCTTCAGCTTTCATGTAACAGACATGAGTTATGACCTAAAGCACAAATCACTCCAAATCTTATTACAGTCTCCCTTTCTCCGAAATATGGAGTATACAGTTCCTTATTCTGCGTAGCGTGATTAGCTTATCATTATTAATTTATTACTTAAGCTTTCTTAGATATAGTTTAACAATAAAATTTTTCCATAGGTAATATTAAGAGCATTGTAAATGCTTCTAGGGGATTGATATTTCTTATTTATGGCATACAAAAGTTCTAGTGTACTAAAATTTGCCACGTAACTGCTAATGTTGTGAACATATAGATAGGGGATGGGTTTTAAATCCGAATAACTGAGGAATGAGGGTGCTCCACAAAGAATACGGTTGTGTTAAGAAATCAAATAAGTTAGGTTCGCTTCACTCAAGAGGGTCCATCCTACTTTTATGAAGAGGAAAATGGAAAACTACGGCAGGATAATTAAATTTTATTCTGATCCACGCTTCGTAATATCTTACTGATTTCCATTTCATTAAGTGGACTTATAGTCACTAGCCAAGGGTTATACAACAGTCTAAACGACTTAGGTGAAGCAACAAACCAGTTGGTCTGTCCCTCAAAATGTTCCATCAAGGGTTTGAGATACTCTTAAATGTTATTAATTGGCGTATCATCAACTTTACAAGTTATTCCACGGAGATCAGAATTTCGCTTCCAAAGGTTCAAATGGTTAACTAAGTTCGGGTAGTTATCAGATGCAGCTGCTGCTTTGAGCTCGGCAGCACACTCCGGTCACCAGGTTTCTCGGTTTCATTCAGATTTTTCAAAAGTTTTGGAGTTACGAATATATGCGTCTCATTGAACTCACGGTTTACCGGAGTAGACCATCGTACCTCCAGAAGTTGTTAGAAGCCCATAATAGTCCAATTCTTATTAGCAGTGGGACAAGTAACTTTACTCATTTCCATTTTCATGCACTGCTCGTAATAATAGGGTTGTTACGAAATATTGTCATATTTTAGTTCGGCTACCAGATTTTTATTTTGTAAACCAGTATTGCATAAGCGGTGGTGTGGCATGGGCAACACATAATTGAAATGGTTTAAACTCATGGCTTCCTTCGTATTTGATAACTGTCGAGGAATTTATGAGGTGGTGCTTTGTATACGTTTTCGTTTACTGAGCAGCAGTTCGCTCAGCTCTACTTTATGGATGTGTGAAACATGGCTATTAGGAGTAGAGGATATTCGTAGGCTACTGGAATTCGACCATAGGTGTCTACGAAGCATTCCTGGTGTATTTTGAGACCATTGAGTTAGCAATACCTTGGTCAGGAACAGGGAACTAGGTAAAGATAGAAAGTCGATTGATGAGGTAGTGAATCTTCATCAATTCAGCTGGTTAAGACATGTATTGCGTATGCCCAACCAACACCTATCTCGACGGGTGATGTTGCCTGTTGGATGAGTAAGCAGGAAAAAAGCTAGGGGCGCCCAAACCAAAAAAACCAATAGTCTATGAAGATACTGACAATTGCCTCCAAATGCCCTGGTACGGCCAAGAGTGAAGAGAGTCCGCCCTCTCTGTCGAAATGCTATCACATGGCCACGCGTTCAGAGCCTCTGCCAGGGAAGTCCTACTCACTGCTTTCTCGTGACGGGGGTGTTGTATCCGAAATCGAGAGGACGAAAAGCGAATGTCCGGCACTCTAACCGGGTTGGTGGACACGGAAAGTTCACCTAGGAGAGTTGGAAAACCCTGATTCCAAACCAATGGTGCACTTGGGCTCCAGTATCCTGAGGGAACAAATGGCGTATGAACCAATCGTTGGTCACCGGCTACCATGGGACTGCATCTCCTTACAATGCTCCACTGCCTTGTGGATTAGACCTTTAGGTCAAAGGCTCTGGGTGTGACCCCCCAAGAAAACCACCTGCTTCAGTTTGTGCACCTGAGCGGTATCACAGCCCTCACACAAGTCGAATGAGATTTGTGCGGCGCGTATGTATCTGGTGCCCCTTTCTACCAATATTTATAAATAAAATACTAAATCATGATAATGGTAAACCACCTGGTTTGAATTCTCGTGATTGTTGTAACTCATAGCTAGAGACATTGAATGACATGGCTCAAAATTGTTTGGGATGACGTAGGTACATCCCTGCTTTGCCTTCCCCCCAAGTTCTGTGATTCTAACTTTTGTTCTTATTTCACTAATTTATATTTTCTGGAATCGAATCTTCGACACCTAATCGTTTTAATCACCACTGATACTGCTTCTACTATTCTATTGTTTAGCCTAACAATTTCATTTCTGTGCTAACAGGGTGTGGCAACATGAAAACATGTTCACACGTTTATTTTATTTATTTAAACACATGAACATTGGTACAAGGAGGCACCGAATACATATGCGTCACACAAATCACTTAGGGGGCCACATCCGGAGCTTCTGATTCCAAAGGGGGTGGAGCGACGTCAGAAGATGCAGTCTCATGGTAGCCGATAACTAATTACTGGTTTATACCCCATTTGTTACGTCAGGATCCTGGAGACCATGTGCTCCATTGTTTTGGAATTCAGGTTTTCCAACTCCTCCATATCCACCAACCCGGTTAAGGCGCCAGACATTCACTTTTCGTCCTCTTGATTTCGTGAAAACGCACCCCCGCCACGAGAAGGCAGTGAGCAGGACTTCCCTGTGAGTAGCTGTATACGCGTGGTCATGTGATAGCATTTCGAGAGCGATAGCTGATTCGACTGACTCTCGACTGTACAAGGGCAATTAGGGGCACACGTACTGGGCTGGACGTTGCGACTTTTTGTGTCATTATCATCCGAAATAAAATTAGTCAGTTGCTTGTTCTGTATATCGGTATTTTGCGGCAGCCGTTTCGCTTAAATAGTATAATGTAGTTTTGAATAAGTGTGTAACTAAATTTATGTTTTATCTTTGAAATTGTCAAACTTGACCTCTTTGAATCACTACTCAAGTTTTTCTGAAGCTGTAAAAGCAATCAATTCGTACACAGCCATTCTCAGTTGGGATTTTTATTTGTTGTCTAAGTATAGATGTTGTACTTTGATTTTCTTGTGACTATGAGGTTATTTTCTTTAATTTCATTAAGCATGTTGCGGACCAACGCTTCCAGCCGATTGAATACGGACTCATTTCTGTTCAATAAAGGCAATTCTGGACTAGACACATCAGCGTCTCCTGTATCTGCTTGCAATTTTTCAGATGTTAACAAACCCTGTAATACGGTTGAACATACACCGGATGTAGACAAAAAGGAGATTGCAAATTTACCAAGTCCTTCTTCTGTTTCCCCATCAGTTCGTTCAAGTCATTCTACCGCTATGGCAGCTGACGTCACAACTAAAAGAGGTTTCTCACCTGCTACACTGTCGGAAAGTGGGTCTAGATTAGAAAAGATTACGGATATCCTAAACAGCTTCGAGATGAAGTCTTTTTTTGATCCTATATTTATTTATAAATATCAAGATGATACTTTGCAACGTCTTGAACAAGAAGTAAGTTTAACCCCAGTCAAAATGATTATAAAATCCCCCAGTTATGTTATAATCTTCATTCAAATTAATATTTTCTTGCTTCAGGCTCAAATGGAGTCGAAAAATTTCGATCGACTACAGAGTGTTCTTTATGGTGAACTATCAGCTGAATCCAAAAAGTTGCGCGCTTTAGTACGAATAAGTGAAGCGAAACTCGCAATTCATAAAGAGAAGTGAGTGTAGAAAAGTATTTAGTTTTGTGATTAATATTCTTCAACTTTACTTTCATACCAGCAATAAGTTGAGAATCTTATTTATTGTGAAGGTGATCAATCTATTTGTTCTTAGTATATTATGTGGCATTCATTGTACTATCAATTACGATTCAACTGCACCTAGAAAACTGAGCGATTGGTATATGATGGGTTTATACTTACGTCGTGGCTGGTCAACGTTGTTTGTTAGAGCAAAGAACAACCGACCTTATTATTTAGATATTTTCGACCCAGGAGTTCACATATCCAAAGCTTTAAGACTACCGCTCAACGAAAACATTCGCTGTTTGGAAAAGGATCAAAATTTATAAACTATGACGATTAGTGTAGACATCAATCATCATGGGCTATTACATTATGTTTCTAAACTAACGACCAAAGAGTTATGCAAGAGGGAGTAACCACTAATTTTCTTGAACTTTCATCGACTGTGATTATCTGTTCAGCCTTTTATTTTCATTTTATTTAAACACATAAATATTGGTACAAGGAAGCACCAGATACATACGCGCCACACAAATCTCATTCGACTTGTGTGAGGGCTGTGATACCGCCCAGGTGCACAAACTGAAGCAGGTGGTTTTCTTGGGGGGTCACACCCGGAGCCTTTGACCTAAAGGTCTAATCCACAAGGCAGTGGAGCATTGTAAGGAGATGCAGTCCCATGGTAGCCGGTGACCAACGATTGGTTCATACGCCATTTGTTCCCTCAGGATACTGGAGCCCAAGTGCACCATTGGTTTGGAATCAGGGTTTTCCAACTCTCCTAGGTGAACTTTCCGTGTCCACCAACCCGGTTAGAGTGCCGGACATTCGCTTTTCGTCCTCTCGATTTCGGATACAACACCCCCGTCACGAGAAAGCAGTGAGTAGGACTTCCCTGGCAGAGGCTCTGAACGCGTGGCCATGTGATAGCATTTCGACAGAGAGGGCGGACTCTCTTCACTCTTGGCCGTACCAGGGCATTTGGGGGCTGTTTAGCCTACAAGGACCATTTGACGCTAACCGTGTAGACAAATGGAAATTTTTGTAATAAAATAAATAATTCTTGATTTCTAAAAGTTCAGGACAGTCATAAGACAAATAGGTAACAAATTGTGGAGAATTAGTTATTTTTACGTGATTGTTAATTGGCTCATCTATGATCAACGAGACCGAGTACTTTACAAGTATATAATAGAAGTCACAGCCACTCCGTTATCGAGGGATAGAAAACGTTTGGATACTCAGGTACACTAATCAATTTCATTGCGTACACTACTGTAACCATTCACAATAAGATTTAAAATCTATGTATGCTACATATCGACAGAAGTAAAGATCTACCTGTTATCTCGCTCTTTTCGCTGTTATGAAGCAGTTTGTTAATTCGTTAAGCGAAATGCAACGTATACTTTTGCTTTCTCTTACTCAGACAAACATCATTGCAAGAACTAATGGACGCGATTGAAGTGCGAAAGCATCTACCTAATTTGTCTTTCGTAGATGATGTATTGTAGATAACTCGAACTTCTGTTACATACTTTCTTTGTGTGATAATGTTGGTTTTTCCGGATCCTGTTCATTAATTTCAAATTGTACAACTTCATAGTCGCTGTTCTACCACAGTATTTCCCAAGTCTCGATAACTGGATCTTCATTTTCCATTCTATCTAAACATCGTGATCTTGTTTATTTTCCCAAAACCGGCTATCAATTCTTATTCTATTTTCTTATAGCTCTCTTCAATCCATTGTGTATCAATGATCAACATTTTTTTTGTAAGTGATTGTACAGTTGTACACTTTCTTAGACTTTGTCAGAGTTTAACTGATGTTTTCTGCTCTTCTTTGAACAATTGCCTAATTCAATAAAATTATGGAAAAAACACTGAAGTCAAGAGTATTTAAACAAACTTTGAACATTTTTATTGGAATTCAAACATAAAAAAGTACATAAGCGCACGAGGGTATGTGCTACCGATTGCAAGGAGATCCACAACTGTTCTTATATTACTAACATTGTGAGCAGGGGATAAAAAAAATTAATAAGGCGCTGTACAACTCTTTACAGGAAACAAAATAACAAGCGTAAGGAAATCACTGTCATTTAAAGGATTAGTACAAAGTCTGATTGAAGGTAATGAAATGGAGAGAAAATGTGTATTTCGATAGTAATTCGAATATCATCACGAGTGCTTCCGCGCAGTCCACCGATCAGTTTGTTTGATGCTAATGACGTACAGCAGCCTCCTGAAATATAAAAAGACGTCATTGTACTCAAATAACAAATTGGAACAACGTTGATACTCATAGTTTATTACAGGTATGCTTATTTGGGAATCCACTGAACCTAATTCTATTGAGTTAGCGCGTTCAATAAGGGTTCAGGTTAGTTTATTCTTAAATACCAATGTTATCTACGGAGATAAGCTTTCTATACACATTCTGCAGAGACAGCGGGTCTTGAGACCAATCCTTAGTTAATCGTAGGTGGATTTTCAAGCTACAACAGAGTAGCTGTTCAGTCCTACTTTATAATGATTTCCGATCATAGCGGATCGTGGTGAAAATTACCTTCAAATCGAGCAACCTCTAGACTGAATATGTAATAATGATTTACTCACGGATTACTTGAAATTGATTCCAAAAATACACTGGAAATTTAACTTACTAAGTTCAATCTGTGGGTACTGTTTACTTCATCTAATTGTGAGTTAGAGGTAGGATTATCGTCGACAGATGCATCAGCGATTTCTGGCATTGTAGAGCGTATGATAGAAAATGGCATCGCAGGAGAATATGTAGACGGTTCAGTGTTCCTTGAATGGTTTGTTTTATTAATTTGGAGAGCGAATTCGACTGGACCATCGCATACCACACATGACAGAGTTGATTTGGATCCCCAAAATATCTGTCAATAATAATATGGAATTCCATTTTAGACAACACGAATTAACAGTCTTCATAAACACATACACGATGATAATTACCACAAAAATCGGTGACTCATTTGGCATAATTTGTTTTTTTTGTAGTGGGGACTGTGTTCCCCGTATGTTGTTGTTTCAAGTCCGTGACAGCTAATTTCCAGATATTCAGGTGAATCTCATGACGATAAGATTTCACATAGATTACAGGGGTGTCGGAATTTAAGCGTATGGACTTTAACGTACACGGTTTGTTACAGGTAACAGTAGTAGTATGTCTAGTATATATGAGTTATGTAAGTAAGTAAGGATTCACAGATAACAATATCAAGCAAGATGTAAATAAACTAGTTTTGACTGACTTGGGAAAGAATATGAAAATAACCAGTCTTTTATCATAAACTAGAAGTTCTAGTAGCTTGATTAACTGATTTGAGGTTTTCAACAACCAACAGATTATTTTGTAAAATTTAGATTACCGTGAAAAATAACATGTTTCGCAGTTATCTTTGTTCATAAATATGCAAATATATTAGTGAAAGCACTGAAATATCATTCTATATATAGTGTGTCTGCTTTATCCAAAATATTATTACTTTTGCAGTAGTGCGTATATGGTAAGTTACAGTGATACCAGATAGTAACTTAAAAAAGTAATTGATCAAAGTGTCTCATCTTAGTAGATATGCATAATATCCAAAATCATGAATTCATGTGATCAAACAGGTCAGATGATTCTTCTTAAGATTATAGCACTCGCCAATGATTTTAAAAGGTCGGTTATTAATAATATCTTTCTCGAGAACTGATCTACATGAATTTACTCGTTTAGGACAAAGGGAAATTGGAAAAAATTCTTACATGCAGTACTTCATCAAGAGTAACTCCCATTAACCAATGTCCATTGATCTCCAATAATCTGTCACCCGGCTTCAATCTGCCGTCTCGAGCAATGACACCATCTGGTGAAACCCATGTAACAAATATTCCGTCATCATTGGCTAGTGATGAGTAATGTGATCCTAAATTATTTATCATGTTACTATCACTAGTGTTAAGTCCACCTGTAACACGTAATCCATATCGTTCTCCAGGTCGTTTGGTCACAGTGATACGCTGAAATGATAAAGAAATGTCACATTAAAACAATATTTGGAGACAGATTTCATACATCAAGAATTGGTGTTTCACTTACCCTTAGCCCTGGTGGAGGAGGATCTCTGCGTACATCTAATTGTAGTTCTTTAACAGGTTGGATTAAAGCTTGTACCGCTTCATCATGTGTAGCGTGTCTCAAGTCGACTCCATTAACTTTAAGCACTCTATCTCCGATACGTAAGCCAGTATTAAGTGCTGCGCCATCTAGGGAGATCTAAAATGATCAAAGTGAAGTATACGGAATTGAGGAGAGTAAATGAATCCCTTTAATATGATGCTTATACATTCCTGGCGAGTCAGCTTTTCTGCAGTCAAAAGAACCTTTAATTCTACAACCAAATAGTGTTTAATTTATAGGTTCGTCTATGACTTTCTCAAAATTTCATTACCTACGGAAGTTTCGATAAAAGAAAAAGTATAACTTGCCGAAGCAGATCGTTTACGTTCAATGAACAAAGGAATATGTTACTTGTACAAATGCACTGCACGATATTCGTCTGACGCAATGGTGATTGGTGAAAACAAAAAAAAGTTGTCATCCCATTTCATAAAGTTCATTTCCCTACACACATTTTGAGTAAAAGTCAGAACATATATGGTCGCATGATAATTTGGATGTAAATATGGACGAGCCATTGTAAATGGATTATTTTGCTAGCGAAGGTTATCACCTATCCGAGGTCAATTCAGCCACCTCAAAAAAATATACTAATTGTGAAGTACTATCACGATTATGAACAATAAAAACTCCTAAACAGTTTGCCTTTTCTCTCTGAACAGTTAACGTTGGCAAGTGTCAAGGATTTGCGTAGTAGATGAACTTGATCGGAGATCAAAAGCAAATGGCGTTGGATAAATATTTACAAAATCTAGTTAGTTATCATCGTCTAGTTTATCAGCCTAAGCACAATATCTCCATAGCTACATTCAATTTTCCCAGTATAACAGGATGAGTCATTCACAAGGCGTTCTTTATTGTATTACATGATTTCTTCACAGAAATAAATTTACGTATAAATAGCATGGAATATAATGAAATGAGATTCATTTTCGAATAATTGACTATTACCTTAGATATAAAAATACCTGGTTCTTTGTTACCAAACGGAAGACAACTTATATCGGATCCTCCACAGATAGCTAAACCTAAAGGTCCACCATCATTGCGAACTGTAATTCTTTCCACAGGAATACCCTTTTCGCTATATAAGTAAACCCGAGAATCATATTTCTCAGAAATACGACTGTCCGTATCCGTCAAATCTGTTGCCTTTGTAGTATCTTGTGGATTATTCGATCTTTTAACTGTCAGAATTGATGATGTTATAAAACCATTAGCTGCTGCTAAAATCAAAAAGAAACAAAACCCAAACCTAGGAAATCATCAGAAAGGGAAAAGATGTCAAACTTTGAACCCTACCTATCTTCTTTTTTTTAAAAAAAAAAATAACGAATTTATTTGATCTAAAAACCATCACTAAAGAAAAAATTTGACGAATAATATATTTATTTCAACAAAGATATCTACGGATAATTTTAAGTCATAGTAACTAACTGAAGATAACTTTGTGTAAAGGAATCAAAATACACCACCAATTTCAATATCTATTAGATATACATTTTCACCTTCACTGAAATACCTGTGCCAATACGGTAAACGATATTTATCTAGAGTAATAAGAATACATACATCTAATTTGAGGTTAGAATTGAGGATTCGCAGCACAAAATGAATACTATTACAAGTTTACTGTATTAGAACAAAAAGTTCTCATCTCTTACCAAAAAGTGTGAGTTTCTTTGGAAATATGTGACTAGTTTTTTCGCATATTCATTATGGTTTTACTCATAATGACAAGGAAAGAATATTTGGAATATGCTTACATGTTTTCGGAAGACTACCGAGATTATCGTTTATGTCAGGATTATAACGAAGTAATTCCAAGTCTACTGAATCGTTAGAACTTGTTAACAACGAAATAGCTTCGTCGTGACGAGCGTTTCTGATATCAACACCGTTTATCTGAAAAATAGAAAAAGTAAGAAACGCTACTCAGATGATTTTCACTCGAAAGATTTCTCGCAACATTTTTTTTGTTAAGGTAAATCTGGGAGAGTGAACTAAATTTCTTTTTGATGTAATAAATAACTTGTAGTCCAAATAAAAGTCATGAAAATAAGTATTTTGCTTAATTAAAAGACTACATAATCAAGAGCTATTCAAATAAATTTTCAGCTTGATTGATAGAAGATTAGCCAGGCTGAAATAGTGATTCATTATTTCATCTTTACAAAGTAAGTCAACTATCAGAAATCATTTCCGGAAATTTTACTTCATACAGCGATCACAACAAACAACTAAAGCTGGAAACTCCCAATATGATGGTGTAAACCTATGAAAAAGACGATCGATAATAAATATTTTTGTCAAACACATCAAAACCAGACGTAGTCAATATCAAGATACATTTAGATACTTAGAAATAGTAAGTAGTACAACCACACGAGTGAAAGTTTTACTCGAGCTTATTTTAAAGGAAAATATAGTACTTCTCAAAAAGAATTGGAAAACATCACAAAGGAAATCGTTAAAATTTTTTGAGGTATATTGAATAGAGAAAACCACAACAGAAATATTAAACTTACGCTAATAATTTGATCACCGACTCGAAGTTGGCCTTGTTTATGAGCGGCTCCACCTTCTGTTATTTTACTAACATATATAGCCTAAAATAAAAAGCATATACGCGTACAATTTTCTTGATCGGATTCAAAAAACTTGAAGACACTTGAATACTTTATTGCCATTGAAATAGATACCTTCATCAATTTGAAAAGTGATTGCGCTAGAAAGGTAACCACGCGTCGACCTTGCTATGAATTATAATAAACCTGATAGAAGTTTGACCATCTTACTATAAGACTGGAATCGTCAGTAGTGTAGATAAACAAACAAAAAGTCGAACATTTAAATATGTGACTGGTAAGCTGCTTAATGGCACATTATTATGGTGACGGAGTATCGAAAATTGGTAGGATGAAAGATTTAAAAACGAAGTGACAAAAACAATCAAAAGTAAAAGAATTTAAAGCAAGTCAGAAAACCAAAACCGTAATTAGTAAACACAGTGATAATTTCGCGACTATCTTATGAGAGCTTACTGGTTTACATTACAGCCTCCTGAACTGTACTAAAAGTTGGCGGCGAAGATCACAGTTTTTCACTTAGATAATGTGAGTATTGAGAAAACAGAAAGATAGTTGAATACCAGTGAAATCATCCTGTGAATGGAATGCATGTCCGATAGTTTGTCATTACCAAATACAATTACCTCGTAAATTTACTTATTCCACTTATGAAGTGTCCTTTTTTAAATTCTCATTTAATCAGTTGATTTTACTGATGATATTTCAAAGTGTAGTAATTATAATAAGCAGTAGTGATTCAAGTAATATGTATTGCCAACAGAAGATTCAAACCTACATAGATTTTTTTAATACTAATGAGTACAAATATAAAACAAAGCAAATCGTGCAATAGTTAATTCATTTATATAACTAATCACCATTCTTTAAATATGAATGATTACATAGTCTATCTATAACACGTTTCAGTAATACTGACATTAAAACGATCGATACAGATTAAGGCTTAGTATAGTGTCATGCACGTAGTCTCTTAAGCTATATAAATTTTATGAGGTAATCTTGGTGAGATAGTGGCCAATTTCTACAAATTAAACATTAAGACAACAGACTACACTAATTATACACTTAATGGGTGATATGAAAAATGATAATTTTCAGAATTATAGGACTGAAATTCATCAAAACATAAGCTAACGACTGGGGACAACTTCGATGAATAAACTTTTAAAAAAAAAATAGTTGGATATGCTTCACTTCATCTCTCGATAGATTATAATGGCGTTATATACAATAAATAGTACAGTGTTCAAATAAACACTGAACATAACATTTTGAAAATGTTTACTTATTTCTAATCGACTCAACAGAAATATTAACAATTTAGTATTACTGTAGTGATAGATTAGATAAAGAAACGAAACTATAGTCATAATAACAATACAATTATGATGTGTAATACTGATGTCGATAGATATAAGTAGTATATATCATCAATTGAAAGTGAACCATCTGGAAGCAAGAGACTAAGTTGATTGAAGAAAAGAGAACGAGAACAGTGAATGATTGACGTTTTGCAAACTAAGTATCTATTGTATGGTTTTCAGATTTTGCTAAGATGTTCTGTAATTTTGTGTTTAAATACATTCGACTGTCCCCGCTTATGTTCTCGTTCACTATACACTTCTTAACTTTGATTTAATGGGAAAAAACTTAAAAAGTATTAGATATGATAAAGCACTATAAATTTATATTTTATGCTTCACTATTGTAATACATTTTTGTGTCTTGATTTTATATTGATAAGGGAAAAATGTTTCTTTCCAAATTCAATGAATTGATTATTTAATTATATTTCTTTTGTATAAAATGCATCCATTTTTAGACAAAACTAGAATAAATCATTGTTTGATTATTAGTTAAGCTAATAATTGAACGTTTAAATATCAAGGTTCAGTTAGAAGTTGACTTTAATAGTTCAAGTTTCGATAGAATGATGTCTATCAACGAAACTTCAACATGAATAAGGCAATCGTTTAGATTTTCAATCGACTATTACTATAACATTTCAAAGATTGAAAAAAGAATCTTGTTATATATTGTTTAATAACTAGTTAATTTATATAAAATTCAAATTAGATCAAATAAAACAGAGGAGAATCACATTCAGTTTTAATGAAGGATCAACTATAATTAAATTGAAATATAAACAAAGAATGAAACTCATTCAGTATTGTTTGTTTGAATCTTCCCATTGATATTTTTGGACTGCAACTGGTCAGTCTCTTATTGGCATATGTGCATACTGTGTGTATTGCCTCGATATAGCCTAAAGTCACAAGCATGGTAAGCAAAGATAGATAGTGGCTAGCAGTAGACGAAACGCGCGTCCTGGATTCCACTGCTAGCCACTATCCATCTTTGCTTACCAAAGAATGAAACTGTTTTGATAATCAAACATATTTTTGATGAAATTAAGTCAAAAAGGAGGGAAGAAAACATTTTTACGACAGAAGTGCTATTTCACTTTCATTCTTTGAGACAAAGAGAAATACATATATAATTTAGAGTAATTAACTAATTACAAGCAATTAGTATAACACTTGACCAATAACATGGACACAAAATACATAACAAACAGTTGGAGAATAAAAACGATACGGAATACATTGATACGAAAGAACAGATTACAACATAGATTAATTAAAGTTAGATATCAAATAAGAATTTTGTTTGAAAGTAATCATTGAATAATGAATGATACTTTAGCAGCCTTGGAATATCCGACTCCAATTGGATCGCGTAATTATCATTATTGATTTATAAATGTCGCAAATCCTCGTATGAAATTATCGACATAAACCACGTTAGTGAATAACGGGATTAAATAAGTCAGATAACAGAATGGATTTTGAATACGTATATTTCCTACAATCGTTGATCCAAACGGACGATTAGAAGATTGAAGCGAAACGGATCAGAGAGGACATATGAGCCAACTCATTTTAACCAAGCGGTACTCAGTATTTATAGTCAGTTAAAAATAAGTTACAGACATGTAATGAGTAGGATAAGAAATGCACACACATACGCTTACATAAAAATGGTCGAGGTTGGTAAGGGAATAATTAACAAGGTCAAAATGTAACTCAAGAAGCATTAATAAGTTGGCCTGTCCAGAGGCTAGAATAATCTACGTGGGCTTGACATAGCACCAGCCTCTACAATACAAAGCAGTACAAATAAAGGGATTCTTTTAAAATAAAAATACCTCAGTAGAAAATAGTTTTGAATAACTGGTCGAGATGTTTATCAGATAAGACAAGAGTTACAGTAAAATGGCTAAGTGAACATGATCGAGTTATATATCTATTGAACTATAGAATACATATAGATTACTCACAAATATTTAGTTTGTATTCTATTCTGATTTATTTGAATTGAGACAATAATCCCTGATTGAATAAGAAATAAAGATAATTCAGTGAAGAAAACTTCCTTTTCCCTAATTAGTTATATAATGTGATATAAAATACGAACAAATGTTTGTCTCACTATTTAGACTAGAAATAAATGGATTATAACTTTAAAAGCGGAATAATAGTCAACTCAAATTTCTGTAAAAATGAATTGAACTGAAATAAAATCTCAGCGTTTCTTCGAATGATAAGAAATAATTGATACATGAATAACTGTTATATACAACAATAAAGAGAGACAAATACATGAGAGAAAGTATAAATTATACACTTTTCTAATCCTCCCCCCCCCATCATTCCATTTAAGAAGTTAAACATTTTGCCGAAATATTCAATACATAATAAGATACAACGGAAACAAACATCAAATGACATAATTTCCTACAAACAAGTTTATTTTGCATTGACAAGGAAGAAAAATGTTAATATGAGACAAGCGTGAGAGCGAATACATAAAGGTTTGTGTCAAATATTTTGAACAAATTACAATTACAACAATGATAAAAATAGACTTTATCCGATTCATTAATATTTATGGTATAATAATAATAAATCATTTGAGAAAACGAAATAAAAGATTAAATACAATTAACATTAAAAAAAGGATGAGAGGGGAACAAAAACCACAAGACAGTATGATTGATGTCAACTATGTCAACTATAAACCTACCTTAAGATACTTGCAATTCTACATGAAAAATAATATAATTTCATATCAAAGAAAAAGAAGACAAGTTATATTAAAATGATTAAGTATCCCTTAAAAAATCAAAGATCAATTAATCAAAATAATAAAGGCAGTAGTAGAAGTTGAACCAAAATGAAAAAGAAATCTTCTGAACTCATGTGGACAATAATGGTAGCATAGAGTAGTATTTAAAATTACATTTAGAATATGTAGCACTGCTGCTGATGAAATATTAACATGTATTTTAAGAATAACTATGCCTATTATATATAATGATGTTAAATCCTTGAATAATTGATTATTCTTGATATTCAAATAAAAAAACGTATATGTAAACAATAAGGTTTTTTTTAAATTAGATCTTTATTAAGCTTTATACTCTAATTTATTAATATATAATGTGATTTCTAATTGATTAGACAGATTATTTGTATAATTCTTGTTGGATAACTTTTATATACTACTCATTTTCATAAACATATATGCTCAAAGTTTGACGTAAACATACCAACCTAATATCGAGTATATAGTTTATAGCTATTAGGATTAATCATGTACTCTTTTTTCATCATTATTATCATTGACTCATAGATTGCTTTAATTGTCTGGATATATATATATATATATATATATATATATATATATATATATATATATATATATATATATATATATATTACTAAGTTATACTAGAGTAAAACCTGATGAAGGACTAGTTCAAAAAATGACATCCTCCGGTTATATGTGATGTTGACATATAACTCATAATTAAACATTGGGCGAAGGGATATCTTTTCAACGAATTTATTATCAAGCTGTAGAGTCGTATATATATGTATATATGAAAATGTTTTATGTTATACCATTACTTTATTCCACAAAAGGGTTATTAGTGTGGGGACAGTATTATTATTATTATTCATATTACGTAATCTAGTGTAGTAATAATAATAGTAATCTTTCGATTGCATCATCATGTTTATTCATTGTTCATGTATCCTCATGAAACCAGTACTTAAACATAAAACTTCATTTAATTATTGATATATACGATTGTACAAGCTTGATAATAATTTCGTTGAAAGAAGATCCCTTCGCTGAACTTCGTTTACATGTGATGTGTTGTTTTTGTGATCACAATGAAAACTTTTATTACTTTAAAATCCTTATAATTACAAGCATGAATTATTATCTATTGGTTGTATATACATAATTTTATTGAAGTGTATTCCCGCACAAATGAATTAAAATTGTTAGTTTATTCATTAACTTTTTAAAAGTCAAATATCAAAACACAGAATAAAAATAAAAGAATGTAGATTGTTAACTAACTAAGTCATCTAAAAGAGGATGGTATGAATGAAGACATATATATCACAGAACAATACATCATCCAATACTAGAAGAAAGAAATAAAACATTAAAAACTTAATACATATCAAAATTTAAAATATTTATCAGCAAAACTCACTTCATTATCTAATGGTGGAGGAAGTGAGCCTTGACCTCCGGCAATACTAAATCCTAGACCATTTATATCACGCTGTAATGTACAGTGAATAAACTGTACAAAAAACAATTAAAACACGAAATAAATCAATGAGGGGTAGCATATTATTTGTAGATTTTTATAATTGCATTATTCACGAATATGCAATGTACAAGTAGCAGGTTATGTCATTAATGAAGGTTAAATTTTCAATCTAAGACGTAAAATCTGTAACATGAGATTGATAAACGTTATTAAATAAGCTAATAACTTCGTCTGTAGCTCTTCTAGAGTTACTGCCGGTCCCAAGCCCGGGTAAAAGAAAATGAGGTCGGCAAACACAACCCGTGGATAAAAATCTTGCTAAAACAACGGCAACGAGATTTAATAAATTAGAATATTTAGACTCTGTCTTGGGAGTTGAAGGAAGAAACATGACGCCTCAGGATGAAAGCTGAAATTCTTCGGAAGTCACGAGACCGATGCACCTTCTAACAACTAGAGCAACACTCTTTATAAGTACATGGAACGGCCGGACAATGTGGGAGACAGGAAAGACCAGCCAAATAGCAATGGAAATGAGGAGATACAACTTGGCAGTACTCGGAATCAGCGAAACCCATTGGACACTAACTGGACAACAAAGGCTAGGTACAGGAGAGATGCTGCTGTACTCCGGTCACGAAGAGGAAAATGCTCCACACACTCAGGGAGTTGCTCTAATGCTGTCCAGAGAAGCACGAAATGCACTTCTAGGATGGGAATCTCATGGACCCAGGATAATCAAAGCATCATTCAGAACAAAGAAGGAAAGAATCACAATGAACGTTATCCAATGTTATGCATCCACCAATGATAGCAATGACGATGATAAAGATCAGTTCTATGAAAAGCTGCAATCAATTATAGTGAAGTGCTCACGAAAAGACCTCATCATCCTGATGGGAGATCCAAATGCTAAAGTCGGAGTGGACGACACAGGATATGAAGATGTAATTGGACGACATGGACTAGGAGAGAGAAATGAAAATGGGGAGAGACTTGCAAACCTATGTGCATTCAACAAATTGGTTATAGGTGGCACAATATTTTCACACAAACGCATACACAAAGCTACATGGATCTCACCGGATCACACCACAGAGAAACAGATAGATCACATCTGTATCAACAAAAAATTCCGAAGATCAATGGAAGATGTGAGAACCCGGAGAGGAGCTGACATAGCTTTAAATCACCACTGGCTGGTTGTGGCCAAGATGAGACTGAAGCTAAAGAAACACTGGACAAACAGCACTACAAAGGTTCAATACAGCCTTCCTTCGAGATACTCACAAGCTAAACGAATTCAAGATAACTGTCAACAACAGGTTCCAAGCTCTACAGGATCTACTGAAAGAACAAGAAACTACTTTGGAGGACAACTGGAAAGGGATAAAAGAAGCACTAACTTCAACGTGTCAGGAGGTTCTTGGTCCTAAGAAGCATCATCACAAAGAATGGATCTCTATGGGAACCCTGGACAAAATTCAAGAAAGGAAGAACAAGAAACTAACAATTAACAACAGCCGAACACGAGCAGAGAAAGTCAAAGCACAAGCAGACTACGCAGAAGGAAACAGGGAAGTGAAGAAAAGCATTAAAGCCGACAAACAGAAATACATGGGAGAACTAGCAACGACGGCAGAAAGAGCTGCAAGAGAAGGGAATATGAAACAACTATATGACGCGGTAGACGCCGAACTTAGGGATCATCAGGCTGGATTCCGTAAGGATCGGTCGTGCACAGACCAGATTACGACACTACGGATCATATTTGAATAATCATTTGAGTGGAACTCATCACTAAACGTCAACTTCATCGACTATGAGAAGGCATGGACAGCGTGGACAGGAGAACATTATGGAAACTTCTTTGACACTATGGAGTTCCTGAAAAGATTGTCAACATTATCGAAAACTCATACGATGGACTACAGTGCAAAGTCGTGCATGGAGGACAGCTGACACATGCATTTCCAGTAAGGACCGGAGTCAGACAAGGCTGTCTACTCTCCCCATTCCTCTTCCTTCTAGTGATTGACTGGATTATGAAAACCCCGACATCTGAAGTGATGTATGGAATACAATGGACAGCTCAGAATCAATTAGACGGTTTGTACTTCGCAGATGACCTAGCCCTCCTATCTCATACACACGAAAACAGCAAAGGTAGCAGCAGCCTCTGCATTAGTAGGTCTGAATATACACAAAGGAAAAAACAAGATTATCAAATACAACACGGAGAACACCAACCAAACCAATAACACTTGATGGCGAAACTCTGGAAGAGGTGGAAACATTCAAGTACCTGGGGAGCATCGTTGATAAACAAGGAGGATCGGATGCAGATGTAAAGGCGAGGATTGGCAAAGCAAGGGCAGCATTTTTACAATTGAAGAACATATGGAACTCAAAACAACTCTCAACTAATATCAAGGAGAGAATCTTCAGTACGAACGTCAAGACAGTCCTACTGTATGGAGCTGAGACGTGGAGAACTACTGCAACCATCGTCAAGAAGGTACAAGTATTTATAAACAGTTGTCTGTGCAAAATACTCAACATTCACTGGCCGGATACTATCAGCAACAGCGTTTTATGGGAGAGGACAAACCAGCTTCCAGCTGAAGAGTAAATTAGAAAATAACGTTGAAAGTTGATCGGACATATATTGAGGAAATCACCAAATTCCATTACGAGGCAAGCCATAACTTGGAATCCTGAAGGGAAGTGGAAAAGAGGAAGGCCAAAAAACACATTATGTCGGGAAATAGAAGCCGATATGAAAAGGATGAATGTTAACTGGGGAGGATTGCTTAAGACAGGGTTGGATGGAGAGTGTTGGTGGGCGGACTATGCTCCTCCATGAGGCGTAACAGGCGTAAGCAAGTTAGTAAAGTAAGCCGATATTTGATACCGTACTTTGTTTACAAAAAGTTTACAGTTAAAAAATTGTTACATGTAACATACTTTTTCCAGATTTATATGTTTGAAAGGAAACTTTGAAAATATAATTTTACAGTATAACAATCCACTTGATAGTTGTGCATTAAAAATTGGTCAAACTAGCTATCTATCCATTTGTTTTGGATTTAAAGTTATACCATTATTTTATCCCATAAAAAGGTTATTAATGTGTGGTGACAGTACGATAATTAAAACTATAATAAGAAAGAGAAAAACCACGTACTTCAGGTATTTCTTTGGTGCTAATACTTCCCGTAACCTATTTAAATAGATGAAAGAAATGGTATAAATAAATATACATGTAGATCAATAACTATTTATTAAGAGATCTACATCTGTAAAGAAGACGGGAATTTTATACAGAAAACCATATTAAAATAGTCGAATAATATATTCTCTTAAATGTGATAAAGGCTATGGATCTAGTCGATCTTAAATCCGAGAAATATTTAATAATGCTAATCGGACATAAAATACGTAAATATGCCTACGTTGTTTCACACAGATCAGTATGATATTTTGTTTAATTTGCAAACAAAAATGTTAAGATTGTGGTTGAATGAATATTTGCTCAGTCGTGTTGTAATTCAGTTCAGAGGTGTAAGTAGCTGACTTTGAAACCGACTATTTAGGCCGTTACTTGAATAAATGTAGGCATTTTTACTCCAAATTTCGACTTACGTTAAAAAGTGATAAGAATAATTTTAGCGTACAGTTTATTCTGCCGCTGAACTAATCAGCATAAATCCTTGAATCACTTTCTACTACAATTTGCCGCTACATAGAAATGGACATCGACTTATATTTTTGTTAGATAACACTTTTTCCCAGTAACAGAACAAATGTTGTATTTTGGATATCTTCATGTTTTGAGAAGTAAAGAATTGAGGAAAGTCGCCAAGTTTTTTTGTTGATTCGTGTGTTATTAATGAATGAAAGAAGTCAGAAGATTCAGAGATACATAGGATGTTTAATGTAATTCAACTAAGATTTCTTCGCTATTACAAATAACGAAACTTTCAAGAAAAATGTATCAACAAATATTTCTTGATCACCGAAAGAAAAACGTGTTAACCAATGTGTAATTGGTTAAGAAATAGGAAAGTGATCAGCGAACCTAGTTAATAGATGAGAAAATTATTAATAAGTCGTATCTTAATTCCGTAATATGGTGGAAATATTTATTTAAAAACATACACATTGGTACAAAGGGCACCGGATACATATGCGTCACACAAAATAATGAAAATAGGAAGAGAAAGGATGAAAAGATAACAACCAATTGTTTCAATCTTCACTGTTTCTTCTCTTATTCCATTGCTCATGCATTTTCCAAACGATTGCGCTTCATTTCAGTTCTTTGCTCATCGGTCTTCTGCCAAAATACATTCTATATCTGACCAACACCAAATACTACTTATATGGATATAAGTAGACCACACCATAATGTTATATATAGAAATTACAGATAAAACTATTTGATAATATGTTCTTTTCCATCGGAAAATATTATTTGGAGCATATTTCATACATATAAAATAAATCTTTGAACCAAATAGAATTCTAGTATGGAATTCAAACTTGTGATTTGTACCATGATTGATGATTTTCCTGTCATCACACATTATCTATTCAACTTGGTAATTATGCTTAGATTTGTGTTTTAAACAGTTCTCTACACCAGAGAAAAATATTACAAGGTTAAACAAACTATAACAGAACTTATTATTATTGTGTAATTACTTAGTTATCATGATTATAGTGTGCAAATAAGTAAAATCTAGTTTAAAATATTGGAATATAGAATAACATTAATAAAGTTAAACAAATAATAAAATTCGAATGCCTATACAACATTCCTTTTATATAATAACACATTGTAATGATTCTTGCATGATATCAGTCAGTCATTATCAATGTAGAGCCTGGTACAAGTGTGCACTGGCTCAAGTCATCATATCATGTTAACACGATAAGATGAAACTAACAAGATGAGCAGCCAAAGAAAAAGAATAGATGTCGTAAAAATAGCAATGACGAGGTGATATTGAGAATATGGTACCGAAAGATAGAATCAAAAGGTATAGGGTATGAAGAAACACGAGAAATCAAGATTTACAGTAAGATAATGGGCTTTGTCACTAAAAGTTTTCAACTCTTTATCATGTGTATATGCTGACCTATCATTGTGAATCAACTAACATGGTACAAATCACAAGTTTGAATTCCATACTAGAATTCTATTTGGTTCAAAGATTTACTAAAACAACACATATTGATAGATTCTTTAATATTAATTATTGTATTTTATATGTATGAAATATGCTCCAAATAATATTTTCCGATAGAAAAGAACATATTATCAAATATATAAGAACTCTCGTCTAAATTAGAACGAATAGTTTCACAGTATTTGAGCGCCGAGTTGAAGTAAGACATTAAATAGGAATAATATATTTGGATTTAATTTAAAAAATTCATTCGCTGAGATTTTACAAATATATTATTCCTATTTAATATTATCAAATAGTTTTATCTGTAATTTCTATATATAACATTATGGTGTGGTCTACTTATATCCATATAAGTAGTATTTGGTGTTGGTCAGATATAGAATGTATTTTGGCAGAAGACCGATGAGCAAAGAACTGAAATGAAGCGCAATCGTTTGGAAAATGCATGAGCAATGGAATAAGAGAAGAAACAGTGAAGATTGAAACAATTGGTTGTTAATTTGCAAATTGACTGTTCATTGTTTGGTTATCAGAATTTACTGAGATAGTCTGTAGTCTTTGCTTAAATAGATTCGATTGTCCCCAACCAGTGTTCTGTTCACTACAACATTACTTAGACAAAAGATAACCGAAGATATTCACACCAATTGTCTGATTCATTAGAAAAAAATACTATAGTTTTAAACACTTAGTTACAGGTTAAAACAATATCTTATCTAAAGAATGGTGATTAGTAAATTAAGAAGTACTTGTAGTCCTAACCTTAGACGATAAAATTTAGAACATGTTAAATCACTAGAATAAGATATTTTAGTTATGCTGTACATTAAAATATTAGTATTACTCTGATACAAAAATATCTGAAGGAAGTTAATGCAAAGAAATAACGTTGTGATCTAGTTATCAGTTAAATTATATCCAGTTAAGTTAACACAGCATCAACTTACTGGGTAAAATCATTTCCAAATTTATGTCCAATAATTTTTTTTTGTATACAATGCATGCATGATCAAAAACTGGTAACCTATACATATCTCTTACTTTCAAAGGTTATATCACGTCTAAAAATTAATACAAAATATACTACGGCACATCGTTTAGTTGACAGATGGACATAATATCTGGGCCACAAGTTAACAAAAACCAAACAGGAATCTTTTTCGAAATGTGCCGGAATTTCGCCAATCATCCATTTTCTAGTATTGTTAGCAGTTATAAGTTAATATGCCAGCCAGCTTGACTAGTTCGCTTCCTATGATCAAACCAGACATTGACGTTATCCTAAAGCAATATTTTATACTTAGATAAAAAGAAATCGATTCCAAAGATCCTAGCATAGTTATTTAGAGGAAACTGGATTTTATCAGACTATTCAACAATAAAAAATAATATCATTCATGTAGTGTTTACCACCAAGTAAATCTACAGGTGCGAGATCCATTCACGAAAATCACATGAACAAAGTCCTACTACAAGGAACATTTCTGATTGAAATGAAGAATAAAAGATACACTTTGTTTCATAATGAAAAATTAGGCCCTAATAAAATAAATTTACAGTAAATACCAAAAGCGATAAAGCATTATTAATGATTAGATTGAAAAAAAGTAGAAAACAAAATAAAGAAACATGTAAGACGAAATCCGTAAGACGTCTAAAAAAAAGTTCGTTTTACGGACAATAGTCAGTTTACTAATCACTATTATTTAAATGAGAAAAAGCTACACTTAATTGATATGTTTTACTGATGTCATAATTTATCTTTTTTCAAACTATCTTTCCTATTTGATTGAAACAAGTTTATCTAGTATTTGTTTTGCCAAAATCTATGTTAAAATTATTCAGTGGTATTAGTAGAAAAATTAATTCTATTTAAACCTAATAATGTCCGTTAAAAAAAATGCAGAAGTTGCTAAATTCTGAGATCTACATTATTGTTAAACGGACTAGATAATATAGAACTTTGGATTACTATTTAACACTTCTGATTGCTATTTGCTAGCTGAAATAAAACAGTTATTACACTACTTACATTCACATTCGTTATTTCTAAACAACACACATATATGGATTAAACTATGAAATCTTGAATGGTTGACTGTATATTCTCATGTTGCAGTAAATAGTGCCAAGAACTTGAATACTAACTTATAAAGTAAGAGATATTTACAGTTAATACAGAATAAATGTTTTATGATATAATCTATAAATTTTCTGTACACTCAATCTAATGACTGAGTTAGTGTTTCACAGACCTAGCAACCACTGTAAGACAGAAAAGTATATAATGTTTGTAATATTGATTAGGTAGCATAATACATGTAGAAGCTGGTACAAATATGCATTAGGTCACACTATTTCAGCCCAGAGAGAAGAAGATAATAAGATGAATAGCTACTTAGAAGTTGAACTAATGACGATAACTATAATAGTATACCTATCTATCAAGAATGTTTCAAACACAAGAAATGATCTTTAATCATCGATGACAATTATCGCACAGACACTATATAAATATATTTTGGATGAGTAATTGTTTAATGTTTACCAAGAATCAACATGTATTTTTTTATTTCAGCTGAAACTTATTTTATTTATAGTTGTGTTTTATTTTCACTTAACAAACAAATAACATTTCGGTATGACCAATGGATTTAAAAAAAAACATATTCTAGTCTAACAGATTAAATCAAAGAAAAAGAAAGTAAGGATTAAGTAGAAGGTTTTTCATGGTAAGTCAATAAACAATAACAACGAAAGAGAATTCTATTTAAGAGAAAGAAAACCCAACCTACTCGTGATGATTGAGTCGACATGTTTAGATTTGTTCCTGATAACATAGACGGGATAATCTTATAATTATCTGCTTTCGTAGACATTTGAATATCACGACCGACCAGAATACGGAAGTCATTTGTATTGGCACGTAAAGTAGCCACAGCGACATGATGTTCTACATTGATAAGACTAACACCATTAACCTGAAAAAAAGTAAAGAAATTTCCTAAAGAGAAGAGAAATAACCGAGATTGCTGTATCTACATAGAAACTTTTACGGATTAGAAATCAAAACAAAGAAAAACAGGACAGTACACTAACCTCTAATAGTTTATCGCCAAGTTTAAGTCCTGAAGTGGCAGCTAATCCAGTAGGATTTAATCGACTAACAAATATACCATGATCTAAACCACGAAATGGTATTGAACCAACTCCACCAGCCACACTAAGACCTAAGCCAGCATTAGGTTGTCGATGGATGTGTACTACAACTTGTTCTTGTTGACAACTGACAACAGGTTGTTTATGTAATGATGATGGAGAATGCAAGTCACGACTTTGTAATGGGATATCAGGAGGACTTAATCCACCAAATGGGGAGGCAAATCGTTTTACAGCTCCGTCAAACTAAATAGAAAAATCAGGAAAGATAAATTCCAAATATTATGTGAAACTATGAGAATAAATCCTAAGGAAACCCTCAAGTGATCTAGTTTTGTCATTAATTGTTAGTTCCTTCTTGCAACGATAACCAAGAGTCTAATTCTGTTAATTGTTATTTCCGCATGACCACTATCTTCTGATTGAATGTTTCAACTTTAAGATAACTAGATTTACTGTCTAGAAGTTGTTTTAGAATCTATATGCATTTATTTCACTTCAATTTGTCAGGGAAAATATTAAATCTTTCTATACACTTCTACTTACCTTTAGGGTTCATATCGTTGAACAGCTGTGTGTGTATCAGTTGCCATCTTTTCAACTTTACAATAGATTCCGTCAGTGCTAGAATTATCCCAATCACTTATAATAACAATCACATTGGGATCGGTTGAACCAAATCGCATGATACAGCAATAATACTACTGATGTAAATAAAATACATGGAATGGCCGACAAATGCTTTGGTAGGGCCGAAGGTGGTTGAAGCCTACTCTCCCTCTCAAAATGCTTTTATCTGACAACGCATATATAGCCTTTGCCATGGCAGTCGTACTCACAATCTTCTCGTGACGGAGTTGTTTCTTATGACATTGGGAACGGAAAGCAAATGTCGGACACTTAAACTAGGTCAGTGAATAGGGATGATCTACCAAAAGGAGTTGGAAGTTCCTGACTGCAAACCAGTGGGTTCGCAACGTGGGCAGGGTTCTGATGGAGAAAGCAGCGTATGAGCCTATTGTTGCTCACCAGCTACCATAGGATTGATCCCCCAACGTTTCGCTGCCCTATGGATTAGACCTCTACATCAAAGGCTCCAAAAGTGTTCCCTCGAAGAAAACCATCTGCTTCAGTTTTAACAACCGGACAGTATCCCTGATCACATAAATTGAATGATAACTACTTCATGAAGTGCATGTGGTTGAAAAAAATAAATAACATAGGAAATATGAAAATCATATATTGCTATTTATCATTTGATAACTTAATCGTCAGCTATAAATATCTTTGAATATTTATGTTGAATATATATGTACAGTAAGTTGAAAACGAAATCAGTTAAAATCAGTTCTTAAACAATGTAATGAATAATTATTGATTAAATATATTTAGTTTCATAAGAATTGAATGACATTCACTTTTAACTTTAATGTTATTTATATTATGCGTTGTCACTGTTGAACAAATAACTAACAATTTCTTGTAGTACAATAGTTAGTGACTGACGATTTAGTTGTTTCCTGATCATTAATTTTCTACATCTAATTACTATTGTTGTTCGATGTAAATCCACAGGTTCAGAGATCTGGCCGAAAATTTAACATTTACAGTTATATAATGATAACCTTCAGGAAGTTGACTGGCTGTTAGGCATTAATTTTTATCCAACTAAAAAGAACAATTAATATATTTTGGCTATAAACCTTACAGTTGTTAACCAATACTCTCTCTCTATGTACATATATAATCTCTCAGACGATAATTTATGAAAAACATTTGAGCGATGCCAACGTGACCTTGAGACAACTCTCCTACTTACTAGGGCCGAAAGAGGGTTTTAAATTAGGATTAGAATCTAAGGTTAGAATTGAATGATAGGAATTAAAGTAATAGCTTTCATCACGAACCGACATAAGCTATAATCCCGATATGATATTTAACTAAATAGATAAATGAATTTAGCGCCAAAACCCAAGATTTAGTATCTTTAATTTCATTGGTTCACCCATAAATTATAGTCTCGCCAAGTAATCGAAACTTACCAACTACTTTTTTTGTAACACACAAAACCAAAATGAATGTTCTAGTAAAACAACTATGTGAGAAGTTCAATTAGTTCACGAAAACAACAAAATTTAAAACACATTGAATATATATTTACTTTAAAGGCTACTGAAAGTAGTAAATACATGTAACTTATTGGGATTTCAGTTGAAAAACAACAAACAACATTTTTGTGACGTATTATTATGCATAAATTTGTAAGAAAAACAAAAGCATAAAATCAATATTCAGAATATATTTGAAATAATCAATGTGGAATTAGTATCAAACTTTCTTACATTAGCCAAGATAACAAAGAGCAAACAAATGTAATAATGACAATGACCTACATCAATTGAATTTGAATCGGGATTCGGTGAAACGGATGCTCGATACTTTTCTAATATTTTTAATACTGCTTCTTCACTATCCACTTCACGATTTAAAAAAAACGAACCGAGACAAATACAATAGTATGAGGATGAGGGATGTAGGAGAGAGAGAATTAAATGAAAAACGGATTAAACATTCATTTAATGCTTAATTTGAATTGTGTCGTGAAGTAGAATTACTAATTACAATACTCACTGTCACATATTTATTCAACTACATTCTCTTTCTCTACGTTCAAATATCAATATACGCATAAAGGTAAATAACTATGGGAGTATAAACAATATTTATCACATTGTATTTTTCAAGGAATAAATGAATAAAACTAATAATTAAAGAAATAGATGTGTTTTTACAATTATTTATTTATGAATGAACTCTAGCGAATAAAAAAGTTTCCAATTAAAAACCAGTTTCATTCGAAGTATACTTCAACCATTTCAATTCAGTCAGTTACATACTGTTGAATGTTTTCGCGTATATGTATAGAGCGATAGCATACTAAGTCTTAAAACTTTACTTTCTTAGTTGTTTGCAAAAAATCACTAAAATCAGTTTAAAAAAAAACTAATTACTTTCTTGTAAACTAATATTTCGATCCAACAACCCAAGAAAATAAAGTGAATATAAAGGTACCTAAAGAACTGTTCATTTCTCGTGGAGTGACTAAAAGGGTGATCCTGATGATAAGTGTAAAGCGCTGATTAAATGTATGAAAACACTTGTTGTGGTTGAATACCATTGAGGATAAAGTCAAAGCAGTTGTAATTCATCGTTAATCACTGTTTGCTTACTTGTGTAATACTGATAAGTTAGAAGAAAGATTAAAGGTAATCAAACGAAGAAATGAGATCAGTAGATAGGTCTCAATGACTGTGTCTGTGAAATGAATTTAGATATAAAATTCACAGGACAGTCTCTAATATTTTAATAAACAACACGAGACACGGAAATTATATTTAGCGTTTAGAGTGCATCATCCTTAAACGGGTCCTGAATTAGTATAATTTACTGTAACTTGTTAGGTTTACAAAGCTGTGAGCATAAATATGTTTATATACAGTCAAAAAAAACCTTATACTAAAACATTTGAAACAAAAGAAAACATTATCTCTGCATAATGAGAGTTACATGACCCATTAAAAAAACCTGATGTTTTTCATTACATCGTCATCAAGTAATCTCAATTCATTCCCCTTATTTCATTAACTAAATTGAAATTGATATTGGATGGAAAGTAAAATATATAATTACACTTACTTCCATCAGCCGTTTTTGACTGAATTCGAGCGCGTTTTGTATAGTGTGGTGTATCACGTCGAATAAGTTTTTGATTTGATTTCTCTTCATTATCTTCCACATCATCTGTGAACCCAACTCGTCTAGAAATAACATAAATCTCTTCCTACAATATGTAAAATAGTAAATATTAGTAATAATAAAAAATATCGTCAACTTTTACTACTACTTCATTAAAATAGATGAGTGCAATACAATTAGAAAATTGACAATTTAATACATTAAAAAATGCTGTTAGATCACCGAGTCAAAGATATACTGAATTGTTGAGAACAGTGGACAAATTTTTTTCTACATGAAAGAAATAGATACTTGCACAGTGTAAAAATCTGTTATATAACAGGCTCTTTATAAGGACTGAATACGAAAGTTCATAAACATTTGCAGTTAGTATCAAAACTTGGGAATCATTGCCATAAAGAAATGACAATGGTTGAAGAAGCGCTTGAAAACTAGAGCATGGAAACAGCTATTTTATTTTAGTTTGGAGCTTAGCAGTGAAAAACATACCTACAACTAGTTTGTGATGAAAACTATAATCAAACTATACGAACTCTCCACAAATCATCCAAACAAAATAATTCCATGTTGTTAAGTATCATAGAGTTTTTAACATTTTATTTACAACAATTACAGAACCTAAATCTTTGTTTTGATAGTAAAAAGCCTAATTAATATCCAATGAAATGACTGGTTTCGAAAAGACTTGTAAATTAGATTTTAAGTAATTAAATAAACAGTTTCAAATCTTAATTTGATATTAGAACTACTAATTAACGAACTAAATGAATAACAATTATGTCAATCATTGTTTTGTTACATCTTTGAATCTGGTGACTGAAAATAAATTACAAACAGGAAAATAATAGAGCACCATTTCAAAAGAAACTTAAGAAGTAGTTCAAATGAACAAAGATTAAAATTTTAGAATGTTGATTGGTTACGGGTATCTGTTTTACTTCATTAGCAAAACTAATGAATACAGATATACCAATATATTAAAATTAAGTTTTATTTTGTGAAAAATAGGACCGAATTTCAAATCATAAGTCAAATGTAATATATTTTTATTCAAGCGGTTAACATGAAGTATTGAAGTAAAACAGCATCCAAACAATCGAAGACAAATGTTATGGCCCGAGAATCGATAATAAGAATACTAGAATGATTGACGTATGTGAACTGATAATTTCTTTATACAAGCAATTCGTTATTTTTTAATTAAATATATATCAGAAGACACAGTTACTCACTAGCCAACTAAATAAATACGTTTTAAAGGAATAAAACTATCACTTATTGACATACAAAATATTCACTCAAAACAGAGTAACTTAGAACAAAGAAATTAGTTACCTTATATTAAGTGTGACCCATCATTACAAGCACTTCTTTTTAAACGGATATTAACGGTAATATGATAACCTTGTGTGTTCTGTTATTGCTAGATATTAGTTCACTTTAAATGTGAGTAGTGTAACAACTTGAAGTCAATCAACTTAAAGAAATATCATTATTTATAACTGATGAAAAATTAAATCACATGTACATGTAGAAGCAACAGTGAGTCACGTCTGAACTTGAACATTGTGAATACATGTTTTCTTTTTTTTTGAAATAACAACAATAAATTTATAGAACTAATTATAATACAGTGTTGGATATGTAATGACTGATGTGGACAAAGGTTTATTAATGTTAGTAAAATGAGGTCATTTGTATAAAATGTTTGTCACTTAGTTGTAGTATATTCATTATTCATACATCGTAACACTGCGTATGACGATATGGTAGCTTAAAAACGATTTCAAGTTAACACAAATCTATAAGTATTCATTTTTATTGGAATTTTGTTTTTCGAGAAAAAATGTATAACGTTTTTTTTCGTTAGAAAACAATTTGGACGTAACTGACTTACTACGCTACATGTAGCTACAATCATTTGAAGATGAAGAACGAATACAACAACATCAAGGAGATTGATTTTGTATCATATCAACCAACGTACTTATCTACAGATTACAGATATAAAAGACAGGCTTCAATCAAGAAGTCTGAACTTTCTCCATATGGCTCAGATCAAAAGTTCATGAATCGAGGGGGGTTAGTGAAATATCAATTACTCTTACTAAACCCTTACTGAATTTTTTTCGACCTACTTCTATGACAACAAAGATTACGTTACAAGGTTATTATTGGAGGCCAAGCATGTGTAACACACCTCTAAACCATCTTGGTCAAATATCCACAAACTCATCAATAGATTCATGGCGTTTACCACTACGTTCACTACGCTTACCATGTCTGCAATATCGACTTATTGGTCTGATCATACACGAACAAATGAGTAAAGATAGACCATAAGGAATAACAATCTTAATATCAGCTACGATTTAAAAAGTCTGAAAAGATTTCTTATTATCTAAAGCTCAACCATCTGGTTAAGAAAGATTGGAATTTCATAAGACCACCCATAGATGCAACTAATGCTAGTTTTCAGCATGAACGTTATGGGGATTATAGAATTTTATTGAGATTACCAACTGATTTAAGTTAGACAATCATTAAAAATTTGGAAGCACTAGAAAGCTTTCTAACCCCAGTATGGAACTCCTTAGAGGTAAAGTGTACGCGCGAGAACGAAAACCCTGGGTTCGTGTCTTGCGTGTACTGATGAGGAGTCACATACTGAGATGAGAAGGCCGTCAAGTGCTTCCAGGGTGTTCAATGGTGATCTAACATTGATCGGTTAATGATCTCAATTAATATCAAAAGTTTTCATGTGGATAATTTATCCAATCATATACGGATAATATCTAGAATAATTTTGTCCATTCAGTTAGTGTGTCAAGTAACTACAAATTGCATTGCCGTTGATATTTGTTTAATATCAATGCAAATTTGCATAAGTACTATGTTACCCATGTCAGTCTTCGTTTTTCTAAAAAAAACAGACTATAATTATATTGGAAATTCGATCTCGTATCATGCTACTTAGCTGATGATCACTGAAACTGATCAAATTATCTCTGATAATAAGCTTTACTTAATCCATATATTCAACTGAAAAATATTATTATTATTATTACTATTGGTGGTATTAGTATTAGTACCACTACTACGACCACTATGAGCATTGGTTATACTTATTTCAGTTACTTTTTACTGAATACATTATTTTAATCCACTGGTCGGCCAAACCAATGCAAACTGTTTAAAGAGAGCGATAGAAGGAAAGATAAACATACATTATTCTATTTTAAGTTTAGAACTAGGGTAAATGAAAATGTATATGACGGTACATATCGTGTGTACTTTGTGGGAAATAACAATAATGATTTGAAAAGCAATATACAGTGCGATTGTTGTCATTATGCATACTGCCATATTTACTGAGAAAATATTAAAATTAATGTAACACGGGAAAGTGTACAATTTCTTGTTAGCACTTGGAATAGCTTTAAATTTTTGGAGGAAAAAAGATTTTTCTAATAATATGAAAACTGATAATTACTAAAAATTGCAATACGTAACACATGCAGCAAGTAATTAATGGTTGATATATAAGGTGTATTTGTAAACATGAATTCAGTATTAAACTCAGTCGACAACAACAAAAATATTTAGGAGACGGATAAAAAACTAAATTAACCTGAAAAGGTATTCAAAAAGAAAAGGTTGAAATAATTCGGAAATATTATACATGAAAAAGAATCAAGGGTTTTGTATGTTTCACTGAAACACAATCAACACATTTGAATCTACTAGCATTGACAAAATCTGTACCACTACTGTGATTGGATGTTTAGGAACGACTGTTTCAAATACAGTACCAACTAGTGAATTCATATGGGTGAAAATAAAAAAGTAATAGGTATCTTGCGTATTGATTTTTCTAGGTAGAAATATAATTTGAAACTTTTCAGAAGTGATTATATTATAAATGACAAAGTTTAAACAATCTGTAAATCTTTTAATCGTAGAAAATTTTATCGAAAAAACTGAACAAATATTTATAATAAATGAACACTTACACCTCCACTACTATAGGCGTCCTCATCAAGATTCCCTTGTACATCCAAATTATCGGAGAATTTTTTCATCGGAGATTCACGATTGGAATGAGCATTTGAATTATCTTCTACAGAAGCCATCCTAATTGTAATATCGCCAGGAATTTTAGGTCTACTTATTTCTGTAGAAGATTTTGACGCTGGGTGTTCATTGAGAAAATTAGAAGGTTGAGTAGGTTTATTACCAAATATTTCTGTAACATTTTGAGATTTATTGCGTGGTCTAGATAAAAGAAATATTATCGATGAGCAAAACAAAGTTATAGAAATAAAAATGAACATAAGCAGGAAGTATGTAGTAAGTCGAACAACAAATCGATATTCATACAAGGGTAGAGTAAATAATCTGAAGCTATTATTATTTGACTGTCTAAACACTGCTTAAATGAAAAGCTTAGAAAATGGCTTTACTATGTTGAACAATTGATAGGTTTGTTACAGTTTATAGGCTAAAAATTTGGAGAAGTGTGATAAGAGTGCATATTTAAATTGAAAAGATTCGATAACTTCCGATAGTGTAGTTTTTCTTACATACTTTTTAATGTTGATAAGGATTTACTCAAAATAAATACTTTAGTCACAACTTTTCAACTGTGAATTGCTATTTTATTTTTAACGGTCGGAATTTTATTTTTAACAACGGACTGAGCTGAGTACGTAGGTGTACACAGTCTGGTTGGAGTTTGCACAATTTCCGTAACCAATGGTTAGAAACCTAGGGGGACATGGCTCAAAATCGTTTGGAATTGTGCTCGTGCATTTATTATTGGCTATATCTTAGATCTTAAGTTTAAAATTATCATACAAAGCGACATGTATGCTTGATCTTTGACAGAAAGACGTAAACATTATATGAGCGTAAACTCCTATTTTACTTTCTTGTACACCACACTAATGCCCTAAGAAAAACCCTGGTTTTAAAACTGGCAACTTGAACAATTGCCATAGATAAGAAATATTTGTAAGGAAAATTGACATTACTGTTGTTGATGGTACATCACTCGGGATGTATAGAAAATAATGGTAACTAACTTGGCAGTCGGTTCGGTCGAGTTAAGATTATCATTAGTCACCACAGAATTCCCATCATTCGATTTCATTATATGATTTGGATAAATAGAAGTGTTAAAATTAGAATCGATCGGTTTCGGAGAATTCCAATCATGATTTAATGATTCGGACGGTGAGATTGGAGCACTTCGATCATTTAGAGATTCTGATGAACTAGCAGAACCGGTGCCATCACGAAATGTATTTGAAGGAAAATTGTCCTTAAACATGAAAATAAAGGAAGAAAATATAGAAAACATTATATTACGATATGGGACAATAATAATAGCCCTTTATAAACGTTAATTACTAAGTACGAGTTCCTGTAAACACAATTTTATGACAATCGGTGAAAATGCAATTACTAGTTTAATGTTTAAAAGTATGCGGTCGAAGAGGAGCAGTTGGCAATGGTTTTTCGATATCAACTAAAAAATGGTGAAAACTAAGTGTTGTTAATGGATTCCTATTTTAGGAATATTACACAATGATAAGAGGTGTTAACATGAGTTCTTGTCCGTGATCAACTTATGCATAACCAGATACACAGACACTGATCAATGAACATCAATCAGCACATATATCTGACCAGTTTAACCTATGATCCAAATGATTGTTAACTAATTAATATGGCTGTGATGTAACAAGAAATGAGAAAAACAACCAAATAAACTATCTATGTCTTGAAAATTCGAAAACTGATGTTAATCAGTAGATAAGAGGGACCAAAAAAATCAGATTAAATAGAAGAATAAAATCAGGATGGTAGATAATCATTTTCAAGAATCACATTATTTCTGACATTACCTGTAGTGTGCAATTAGTCAATCAAGTTATTTCAAAATAACTTGTAATAAATCAAGATGTGGACATAACTAGCGATAACTTGTTTCTTAATTATGCTGTGGGTTCTGATAACACGATTTGCATATCTTTTTCGTACAAGAAACGATCACATCTTAAAAAATAGAATGATTTATTTCGCTCACCTGGTACAAGTTTATGTGTTTGGTTTTGGAGTCACACTTTACGTGTGACGCTTAGTGATACTATCACATTACCCAAACTAAATTAGGTAGAGCAAGATTCAGACATATGAATTGGTTGTTGAAAGTCGAATACCGAAACTAATAAGTTATCGTTCTATAAAGAATACAATGAACACTAACAAGATTAGGTTTTTGGATAATTATCGATTTAAGGAATTAAATATCAAGTTAGTCGAATATATTCTCTTATTCCATTGCTAAAACAAATCTCCTGGTTTTAATTATGAACGAAGACAAGCAATCAAAACGGGTAAGACTTTCACACTCATATCATTGTACATAATTTAATCTTACAAATTTCCATTATTATATATGGAGTTAACTTTTACGAGAGGTATTATACTACTGTTTACCATTTAAATATTCAATAAGTGAATTTGTGATTAACTTATTTTTCACCTGTTTTTTGATAACATGCTAACGAATGTAGAGACAGATAGCGAATAAAAAAGTATATATATTGGTGGTAAAAAAATTCTCGTTTTAAAACCATTTATGCAAATAAATCATTGATTTTAGAATCACGTATGAAGTAATTGGTTAGCGCAACATACATATCACATGTTTCAAGTTCAAAATAAAAGAATGAGATGTATTTTATACCTTCAGAGATATTGAAAAGATAGTATAGTAAATGGATACTTGCATAAATTACAAAAAAAAGAAACAAAGTTAGTTTGATATCATTCACTTGATATCTTAGTTAACTGTACAATCATAGTGAACAGATTCTGTCTATCTGCTACTGAACGAGAAAAATGTTTTGACTGTATTGAAAGTGTTCATCACTGATGATAAAATACTTGAAAAATTCTTAGACTATATTTAGCATTTAATTACGGTCATTGGATAATCATGAGTTAACACTGAGTTCAACTATTCAAGATTAGAATGAAACTTCAAGTCGATAAACAAATAATAAGTGTTTTAATATCAACAAGGTTAGCCTTTGCAATTATACGATAATAATACTGACCATATTATTAAGTAGTAACCTGGGTAGAAACATATAGACAAACAGTAAAAGAATTGACTAGTTGTCATTATTTATTGCAGTCCAATTTACTTGATGTGTTGCGTGTTTGTACGTCGGAATTACCAGTTCTGTATAGTACCTGAAATCTCGGCGAGGCCTTCCAATTCTGTGTTGGTCGATATTCGATATTATCCTTAAACTTCGTATATTGTTCATCCTGATAACTGTTACTCGATAACGTACTAACGGTGTATAAATCAGAAGGCGAAGACGAAGGGTTGATTGCGTTTATTATTGGACCACACATAGATATCCAATATTACAGGCACGTTAAACAAGCATGAAAGAGCAGTGCCGTAAAGCAGGCGAGTGAGCGTGAGAGCCGAATGAGTGAGTAAGCGTGTACAATACGGTGTAGCGCAGTGCAGAGCAGAGCAGTGCTATGGAAATAGAATATTGATAACAGTAATCGAATGGTTTGGATGGGTAATGGATGATGCAGCATTCAGTTATACATATGAATGAATAGATTATATGAACATAATCATTACTAATCGGCTGGTAATGCGGTGTCGAATACTTGATTTGTGCATAGACATTAAAGTAGAAAAAAAAAGAAACGACGTTTGCTGTGTACCAAACAGATCACTGAACACTAGTTGTATATCGAGAACATAAGTTCCTACTATCGGGAGTATGACTACAAACTTATGTCTATGACAGAGTGTAATATTAGACCGAAAAGGACATGAAAAAAATTGGAACGAACTCACTTAAATCAGAAAAAAATTTTTTGAAGCGGCAAGCTAAACCGAACTTTTGCAATTTTTGATTCACGATGATCCCTACTTTAAGGTCTATACACAAATCAAGTATTCGACACCGCATTACCAGCCGATTAGTAATGATTATGTTCATATAATCTATTCATTCATATGTATAACTGAATGCTGCATCATCCATTACCCATCCAAACCATTCGATTACTGTTATCAATATTCTATTTCCATAGCACTGCTCTGCTCTGCACTGCGCTACACCGTATTGTACACGCTTACTCACTCATTCGGCTCTCACGCTCACTCGCCTGCTTTACGGCACTGCTCTTTCATGCTTGTTTAACGTGCCTGTAATATTGGATATCTATGTGTGGTTCAATAATAAACGCAATCAACCCTTCGTCTTCGCCTTCTGATTTATACACCGTTAGTACGTTATCGAGTAACAGTTATCAGGATGAACAATATACGAAGTTTAAGGATAATATCGAATATCAACCACCACAGATGTTTATGTAAACACTACAGTGACAGATTTTTGGATCTTATAAAAATCCTGATATTTTATCGGTATAAATGTTTGAAAACACTAGGTGATTCTGTGTCAAGCTGTGATTCAGCAACAATTGATATCTACATGACAGTGAAATTGAATAAAGTCATCTGGATTCATCAAGAATAAATACTACTAACTCCGCCTGTAGCTCTTCTAGAGTTACTGCCGGTCCCAAGCCCGGGTAAAGGAGGAGGGTTGGGCATGGGGTTAGCGACCCCATCCCGTAGAAAAGCTAACTCGCTAAAAAACGATAACCAGAAAAAAATAATTCAAACCATTTAAACTCTGCCCTGGGAGTTGAAGGAAGAAACATGACGCCTCAGGATGAAAGCTGAAATTCTTCGGAAGTCACGAGACCGATGCACCTTCTAACAACTAGAGCAACACTCTTTATAAGTACATGGAACGGCCGGACAATGTGGGAGACAGGAAAGACCAGCCAAATAGCAATGGAAATGAGGAGATACAACTTGGCAGTACTCGGAATCAGCGAAACCCATTGGACACTAACTGGACAACAAAGGCTAGGTACAGGAGAGATGCTGCTGTACTCCGGTCACGAAGAGGAAAATGCTCCACACACTCAGGGAGTTGCTCTAATGCTGTCCAGAGAAGCACGAAATGCACTTCTAGGACGGGAATCTCATGGACCCAGGATAATCAAAGCATCATTCAGAACAAAGAAGCAAGGGATCACAATGAACGTTATCCAATGTTATGCACCCACCAATGATAGCAACGACGATGATAAAGATCAGTTCTATGAAAGGCTGCAATCAATTATAGTGAAGTGCTCACGAAAAGACCTCATCATCCTGATGGGAGATCCAAATGCTAAAGTCGGAGTGGACGACACAGGATATGAAGATGTAATTGGACGACATGGACTAGGAGAGAGAAATGAAAATGGGGAGAGACTTGCAAACCTATGTGCATTCAACAAATTGGTTATAGGTGGCACAATATTTTCACACAAACGCATACACAAAGCTACATGGATCTCACCGGATCACACCACAGAGAAACAGATAGATCACATCTGTATCAACAAAAAATTCCGAAGATCAATGGAAGATGTGAGAACCCGGAGAGGAGCTGACATAGCTTTAAATCACCACTGGCTGGTTGTGGCCAAGATGAGACTGAAGCTAAAGAAACACTGGACAAACAGCACTACAAAGGTTCAATACAGCCTTCCTTCGAGATACTGACAAACTCCATGAATTCAAGATAACTGTCAACAACAGGTTCCAAGCTCTACAGGATCTACTGAAAGAACAAGAAACTACTTTGGAGGACAACTGGAAAGGGATAAAAGAAGCACTAACTTCAACGTGTCAGGAGGTTCTTGGTCCTAAGAAGCATCATCACAAAGAATGGATCTCTATGGGAACCCTGGACAAAATTCAAGAAAGGAAGAACAAGAAACTAACAATTAACAACAGCCGAACACGAGCAGAGAAAGTCAAAGCACAAGCAGACTACGCAGAAGGAAACAGGGAAGTGAAGAAAAGCATTAAAGCCGACAAACAGAAATACATGGGAGAACCAGCAACGACGGAGGAAAAAGCTGCAAGAGAAGGAAATATGAGAAGACTATATGATACAACGAAGAAATTAGCAGGGAGATATAGCGAACCAGAGAGACCAGTCAAGGACAAAAAAGGAAAGACAATCACTGAGATTCAAGAACAGAGGAAAAGATGGGCAGAATACTTCGAGGAACTGCTGAATAGACCAGCCCCATTGAATCCACCGAACATCGAAGCAGCCCACACAGACCTTCCAATAGATGTCACTCCACCAACGATCGAAGAAGTCAAGATGGCCATCAGACAAATCAAAAGTGGGAAGGCGGCAGGACCTGACAATATACCAGCAGAAGCACTGAAGTCAGACATTGAAATAACTGCAAATATGCTTCACCTTCTATTCAATAAGATTTGGGAAGAGGAACAAGTGCCAATGGACTGGGAAGAAGGATATCTCATCAAGATACCAAAGAAAGGAAATCTGAGCAAATGTGGGAACTACGGAGGCATCAGTTTGTTATCAGTACTAAAAAGCGTTTTCAACAGAGTCCCGCTGAATCGGATGAAAGACGCGGTAGACGCCGAACTTAGGGATCATCAGGCTGGATTCCGTGAGGATCGGTCGTGCACAGACCAGATTGCGACACTACGGATCATCGTTAAACAATCAGTTGAGTGGAACTCATCACTAAACGTCAACTTTATTGACTATGAGAAGGCATGGACAGCGTGGACAGGAGAACATTGTGGAAACTTCTTCGACACTATGGAGTTCCTCAGAAGATCGTCAACATTATCCAAAACTCATACGATGGACTACAGTGCAAAGTCGTGCATGGAGGACAGCTGACACATGCATTTCCAGTAAGGACCGGAGTCAGACAAGGCTGTCTACTCTCCCCATTCCTCATCCTTCTAGTGATTGACTGGATTATGAAGAATTCGACATCTGAAAGGAAATACGGAATACAATGGACAGCTCAGAATCAATTAGATGATTTGGACTTCGCAGATGACCTAGCCCTCCTCTCTCATACACACGACCAAATGCAGATGAAAACCGCAAATGTAGCAGCAGCCTCCACGTCGATAGACCTCCACATTCACAAAGGAAAAAGCAAGATTCTCAAATACAACACGGAGAACACCAACCAAACCAATAACACTTGATGGCGAAACTCTGGAAGAGGTGGAAACATTCAAGTACCTGGGGAGCATCGTTGATAAACAAAGAGGATCGGATGCAGATGTAAAGGCGAGGATTGGCAAAGCAAGGGCAGCATTTCTACAATTGAACAACATATGGATCTTTAAACAACTGTCCACTAATTTCAAGGTCAAAATCTTTAATGCGAACGTCAAGACAGTCCTGCTGTATGGAGCTGAAACGTGGAGAACTACTACGGCCATCATCAGGAAGGTACAAGTATTTATAAAAAGTTACGTACGCAAAATACTCAACATCCATTGACCGGATACTATCAGCAACAGCGTTTTATGGGAGAGGACAAACCAGCTTCCAGCTGAAGAGTAAATTAGTAAAAGACGTTGGAAGTGGATTGGACATACATTAAGGAAATCACCAATGTGCATCACGACTCAATCCCTAACTTGGAATCCGGAAGGGAAGAGGAAAAGCTGGAGGCCAAAGAACACAGTACGCCGGGAAATAGAAGCCGATATGAAAAGGATGAATGTTAACTGGAAAGAACTGGAAAGGAAGGCTCAGGACAGAGTTGGATGGAGAATGCTGTTGAGCGGCCTATGCTCCTCGACGAGGGGTAACAGGCGTAAGTAAGTAGCTAATTCACATGCGCTTGATAGTGAAGTCATAACAGATAGTGAGGTTCTAATTGACATTTCGTTCTCAACAGTATGAAATGATAAATATTTTCGGATTTTTACTCTTTTCAATAATTTCTCATCAGGTTCTACAATTATAAATTAATAATCCATAAAAGAAGATTGGCCAAGTTTAAGGCAGAGTACATCAATTTAAGAAACTGTAATATGTGAATCAAGGATTGTTTGTCATATAAAATAAGATCGAATCATTAATGTTTTTGGGATGACTAATATGAAGTGTTAACTTGAATCAGTTTATAGGTGAAATAAAATCGTAAGATAAATTATCAGAATATATATAGTTGACATGGGGGTGAGAGCTACAAAAATAGGATTACAAATCGGAAATTACGTAATATGTAGAATTATATAAATTAGGTACTGTAGAGGATTTTTACTCACTAAATTTTATTATTCCAATGAAATGTACTCATTTCATTTAGAATGAAGTAGATGTAACATACTTTCCATAAGGAGTTGCATTGATTGAAGTGGATACTTGAATCAAACAAAAAATTGACGATTAGTTTAATGATACTGTTATGCTTGAAACTAAATCGATTCCGCAGTAACGAACGAAAGCCAATGACACAATGACACGATAAGCTACTCTAATCTGTTGTCCCAGGCCCCGCTAACTAGATGAAGAAGTCCAAGGCAAGTAGAGGAATATATATGTATTCCGTAAGCAGCCGAGTACAAGCAATCCAATAAGGGGAAAAGTCAAGCGCATTTATACAGTAACAAATTGTCCCTGAGCATCATTAGTAAATAGCACACATAAAGAAACAATGGACCAATAGCGTTTAAGATAGTTTACAAGTGGGAAATATGACGTGAAGGTAAAAGAGCGCTTTTGGCGCGAAAACAGCCAAATTCAAATTTTCAAAATAAAATTACAAAACTAAGCCATTTACCAAGTAAGTTCTGGGGATTTGACATCCCCAACAGATATGATAACCGTGAGAAAGAACAAAGTAGTAAGAACTATTCAAAAAATATGACATATTTTAATGTTATTTATGTCATTTTCAAAACTAACTGAAAATAACATACAGCAGTAAGTAAAATCAACTAATCTACATACATGAACACATTTTTTTATGACGAATAATTTATTTCACTGTAACCTGTGCTCTCCTAAGGAACTGTACAAAAATTTAAATAATCAACAAAAAGAACTTACACTTCTGCATTGACTGGAATCATCGTTACCACTAATAAGATGATTATCCGTGGCTTTTTTACAGGAACGAGGATGACGTGTTTTCGGAAAGCCTTTGGAACCTGATTTGTCCTGTTGATGATAATAATAATAAATGGAGCAATAAAAATATGGAACTGAATGAAACAAACTCAGTAAAAACAGATTTCAAGTATTCACTAAACCGTGAACAAAGAGAAAAATATTTCTTACGGTAGGTTTGATTTGGTGCTTAGGATTTACATACAGATGTATGTCAACATAATTACCATAAATATAAGGTTGGACGCTGAGTAAACTAAAGTGACACGGTAAGAAAAACAGCAACATAAAATTGTTTGAAGTTGAACTTAAATAAAGACAGAACAAATATTGATGCAGTGAATTCATTATATTTCGTGGTTTCTCATCAGCTGCTTACAACCAAATATGCATTAGAGTTTTAGCATGGGGATGCATATTTGGTTGTAAGCAGCTGATGAGAAACCACGAAATATAATGAATTCACTGCATCAATATTTGTTCTGTCTTTATTTGAAGTTAAACTGTCGTTTAGTAGAAAAAAGAATTTTCGTTTCTAAAAACTTACGGATTTTTCTATCAGTGAAAAGATAGAGTTATCAGACTATTAAGGAAGATTTACACATTTTAAATGTGTATTATTGAACTAACAAGAAGGGTAGTGAGGATAAATAGAATAATTTATAGATGAACATGACTGAAGACAACATTTATATACAGAAGGAAACTAGACTACTATATTATATCTGGAAAGGTAACTACTATCACGCTATATTTTATCTACACGAACTATGGTTGATTGTTCCAGAGTAGAGAGCGCTAGGGTAAAGTGTATACTCAAACAAACCTAAATATACATAAACTTGCCAGCTCACATGTAGATAAAATACACAGTCATTCGTCAACTCAATCGAAGCTTTGAAGAGTGAAAACAGGCAGTTATCAACTGTACATCAATTGGTTTAATTGAACTGAGATCTAGTTATTAGCTAATAATTTTAAAACGAATTAATGAACACTCCTAAGTAAGTTGACTTGTTCAAATTCTTTCGCATACTAGTAGCAGTTAACAGTAGACGCTTATCTTGAAGTAATTCAATACTTCTTTCACAACTCAAAGACACTTCAATATACATTAGGCATTAAGAGGAAAGAATAAATCTATGGTTTATTGTTTTCTGGGACAAAAAACAGCTACTTATAGTTATGAATGACGGAGTTAAAAGTTATGATTAACAAACTACGTAAATGTAGTACTTTACGCAATAATAACACAACAACAGATGTAGAACAGAGAAATGAGTAGACAAACGTGTATACATAGAGAGAAGAGTAGATACACGAAATATATTTATCATAAAATAATGAAAGTAATTCAATAGAAAAGCATATAAGACATGAAAGTATGGAATTATTGATGAAAGACAATATTAACATATTACCATCTCATCAGGTTTAACTGAACCAGAAAAATGAACACGAGTTGATGCAGATGTTGGCATAGATAGAGATGAATGTGCAGATGAGGTAGAAAGATCATTTATATGATTTGGTGATGTATAGGATGAATCTAAATTACCATTTACATTTGATGGTGAATTAATAGATGAATTTGAATATGGTAAATTTTTTGTAGGATTAGTAGTAGAATTAACTGAATGATGATTGTTTAATGAATTAGGATCATTTGTTATTGCTGAATGATCATTCAGTGTTGATGATGTTGAAGTCGACGGTTTAGTCGATTCATATTTCAACGGTGAAATACTTCGATTTTTTGAAAGATCTGATTGAGGAATTGATATATGCATATCTGCGGGCTCATAGGTATGATTTATTTCAGCACTGATATTATCAAGTAAATCGTGGTTTGTTTTCATGTTAGCATTTAATGAAGCAGAAAAACTATCTAATTCAGATGGTGACATAGTTGGATCTATAAGTGAACACAAAAGAAAAAGGAGGAAAAATGGAAATTTTTACGAAAAAACTCAAATATTTAGTGATCTAAACGACTGACGAAGATGGAATATCATAACATAAAATTAATGAGTATGAAAATTTAGAAATTTTAGTAAGCAGTGACCTCGGAACAACAGCTAAAAATAAAGATGAGGTTGTTAAACGTTTCAGATTTTGTGAACATTAAGCATAGCTTTCTAGAATTCGGGTAAGGATACGTTTACAATATTTCACCCAACACTGATTTAAGGTGGTGGTGTAAGAGACCTTGTCATAATGTTCAAATATCCGATAGGATAAAAAAAAGCTAAATGTACTTGCCCGAGTACCGTCGATTTCGAGCTACACTTCTAAATGCTTACAATCTCGGTTTAAAGTAATATATGAAATTCAACCAGGAAATATGTCTACTTTCAATATTTAAACCACAGGTGGCATGTCTTCTACTTTTTTTACCATCAGCTAGGGCTGATCATATTAGAAGATTTTCTCCGATGGTTGAAAAATATCAAGACTAAATGTCTAGAAACTCTTTTTTGATTAGAATCGTGAACAGCTGGAAATCTTTACATGAATACACAGTATTAGTGATGTATTTAAAGAGATTATGCCTACACAGTGCAACTAATCACGAAAATCAGGACACATCACCTAACTTTTTATCACTACTATTAAAGATTAAAGTCAGAAGATGGCTTAAATTATAACTTCATTGAATTCATCAAATATACATTAGATTTTTAGATTTTATATTGACAAATCGTTACACTTCCGGTAGACTGTACCATTTTTATTACCAAGGCTAAATATGAAGAAATAATTATTGATTCCCGTTATTATCCACCTTTGGCAGACAGAGTACTTTCATCTTAGAAAAGAAATTCTCAAAATTGAGCAAAAATAATCTTGGATGAATAAAGCGAAATATTTTAAATAATGAAATATCGTCAAATCCCGATCGTTGCTGCTACCTTGACGTGGTGGTCGGGCTTGCCTATCGTGATGATCCAATCGAGCTATGCTGGCTGGAACAGTCGTTCCTCGAGGTCCTACCATGCCAGACAGGTCGGTTGAAGAGCGGTGAGACTAAAAGCAGCAAGCCCCAAGATTCGAGGGCAAAGTCGTACTGCTGACTGTACAGAGGTGTGACGGCAGTAAGGTGTTTCCTTCAGACAACCAGCATGACAGCGATGCTGCCTTCCCACAAGGAGGGGTGGGGTTAGAAAAGGTCGACCCTAAAAATGCACACCTCGCCTTATCCCACGGATTTCCGTCTCCGGCGGTAAGGTCCTTTGAAGAACGGAGCTAACACAAAAACTACTCACAAAAAGGTCGTGTGTGACCGACCTCAAGCAGTTATCCCTTGGGCACTGCGGTCACGCTCTCAGGTCATTAAGACCACTCCTAACCCAATTTCCTTTTCAGGTACCTCTAGAAGAATCCTTCCACGGTGTGGGCAACCGGGAAGTGATAACTGCCCTCATACCTCTAACAGCACTCAAGACCACTGTATTCATAATCAATCTTCTTCTTCAATTCCTACTATTCCCTCTACCATGACTTTCAACACTAAACTTCCTCTCTCGGTTTCCTCCTCAAGTGTCACCATGGCCAACGATTCTAGTGCGCGAAACGCTGTCCCAGGTCTACTTAAACCTCGCTCCAAACTACACATTGGAGCCTTCAACGTACGTACCCTATGCCAAATCGGTCAACAGGCCTCCTTAGCTAAAACCCTAGAATCTCGTACCATTGATGTATGCTGTGTCTCCGAAACACGCATACAGGATCCCAGTGTGGTCATTCACTTGACCTCACCTCGCCAAAATGGACAGCCAACGAAATACACCCTCCGTGTATCTGGCGACCCGTTGGCTAGTTCTCGCGACCTTGCAGGTGTAGGCATAGCACTAAGTACAAGGGCAGAACAGGCACTACTAGAATGGATCCCCGTTAACAGTCGACTGTGTGCTGTCCGGCTAAATGGCTCTGTAAGAACTCGGAAGGATAGGGACACACGTCGTTGCCTTTTCGTCGTTTCTGCCTACGCTCCCACTGACTGCAGCCATGATGAAGTAAAAGATGACTTTTACAGAAAACTCTCTGAGCTTCTTCAGAAACCTAACCGCTCAGACATAGTAGTCGTAGCGGGTGACTTTAATGCCCAGGTAGGCAGCTTAAATCAAACAGAAAGACATTTAGGTGGGTGTTTTAGTATTCCGGCTCAACGAACCGATAATGGTGATCGTCTGTTGCAACTATGCTTAGACAATCGTTTATTTTTAGCAAGCACTAATTTTAAACATAAGGAGAGACATCGTCTAACATGGCGACCACCTGCACCAAACCAACGATGGACTCAAATAGACCATATTGTCATCAGTCATCGTTGGAGAGGCTCAATAGAAGATTGTCGCTCGTATTGGAATACTTGTTTAGACTCTGATCACGCTTTAATACGAGCACGCATTTGTCTGCGCCTCAATGGACGCAGGAAAAGTACACTAAGAAGACCCATTAGGATTTAACTGGAGGACGAGAAAGCCAAATGCGAATTCCAGAAACAACTGAGTTCACATCTAGGCAGTTCTGTAAACGAGACTGACCCAGATGCTGCTTGGAAAGACACACGAACAGCTGTGGAAACGGCAGTAACATCTATTAGTCATTTAAACCATAGGGCTCCAAAAAACCAGTGGATTTCCTCTAAGTCTATTTCACTGATGGATTCGCGTAAACTCATCCCATCAGGCTCTGAACATGACGAAGAGCGTAAACAAATTAGATCTAGGTTAACTAAAAGTCTAAGGAACGATCGTGAGCAGTGGTGGGCAACGAAAGCAAAAGAGATGGAAAAGGCAGCGGCTGTAGGCAACACCAGGCAACTATTCAGACTAATAAAAGAAACCGGAATTAAGAAGTCAAGTGTAAGTGAGACAATCTCCGAAAAAGACGGAACCCTTATCTGCTCTCAACCTAAACGTTTAGAACGATGGGCGGAACACTTTAAGGAGCAGTTTAGCTGGCCTTCAGCTACTGCACAACTACCCACTATTCCTAGAAAACCTGAATGGAACATTGAAGTAGGCCCCCCGACCCTACTTGAAGTTCAAAAGGCTATAAGTAATCTGAAACGAGGAAGAACAGCTGGTCCTGATGGATTGGTTCCAGAGGTTTTTAAATACGGTGGTCCAATTTTAGCGATTAGGTTGACTAATATTCTGGCTAAAATCTGGGAGACGGATATCATCCCATCCGACTGGTCACAATCACTGATTGTCCCAATATATAAAAAGGGGTCAAAATCATCCTGCGATAACCATAGAGGGATTAGTCTGACTAACATAGCATCTAAAATACTAGCCTCAATAATTATCGGGCGCCTAACTAAGACTCGTGAACTGCAAACACGAGAAAATCAGGCTGGCTTCAGACCTGGTCATGGCTGTATCGACCACATATTCACCATTCGTCAAGTTTTAGAGCACAGACACGCTTATCGGCGTCCGACAATGATAGTTTTTCTTGACTTGAAAGCAGCATCTGACTCTGTAGACCGAGAGGTTCTGTGGCAGTGTCTGTCATTGAAAGGTGTACCTGAGAAGTACATAAACCTTTTGAAGGCTCTTTACTCGAATACTATCAGTCGGGTGAGAGCTTATGGCGAACTGTCATATGATTTTACAACCTCAAGTGGTGTCCGTCAAGGCTGTCCACTATCCCCCTTTTTGTTTAACTTCATTATAGACCTGTTGCTGCAAATGACACTCTCGTCGACTGAGTTTACAGGAATTGATCTCCTACCAGGGGAACCACTAAGCGACTTAGAATACGCAGATGACATAGTCCTGTTTGGTGAAGACACTGACAAAATGCAGAGTCTTCTGTTGGAACTGAGTAATAATGCCAGGATGTTTGGGATGCGTTTCTCCCCATCCAAATGTAAATTGTTACTCCAGGACTGGCCTACGTCAACACCTGAACTAAGGATAGGGAGTGAAGTAGTCGAACGCGTCGACAACTTCACTTACCTTGGAAGTCTGATCAGCCCTAATGGGTTGGTGTCAGACGAAATCTCAGCACGGATTCAAAAAGCTCGTTTGGCTTTTGCCAACTTACGTCACCTATGGCGTAGACGAGATATCCGTCTATCAATTAAGGGACGAGTATACTGCGCAGCAGTTCGCTCTGTCCTACTTTACGGCTGTGAAACATGGCCATTAAGAGTAGAAGATACTCGTAGGTTACTAGTATTTGACCACAGATGCCTTAGAAATATTGCTCGCATCTGCTGGGATAACCGGGTAAGTAATAGTGAGGTTAGACGCAGGGTATTAGGGAACGATGGTAAATCAGTTGATGAGGTGATGAATCTTCATCGACTGAGATCGTTGGGCCATGTGTTACGTATGCCTGAACACCGATTACCACGACGCGCTATGATGACTAGTATTGGGGACGGTTGGAAGAGAGTTAGGGGCGGCCAAACCAAAACATGGCATCAGTGTTTGAAGTCACTAACTTCTAGCCTGAGCCATGTTGGCAAATGCAGACTACTTGGTTGGGGTCCGCGTGACTATCGTAACCAATGGTTGGAGACTCTAGGTGACATGGCTCAGAATCGGTCACAATGGCGTAGGTGTATACACTCTTTATCTTTCCTTAAACCTTGAGACTAAAATTGCTTCATATCTCTCTTCCTTCCTGTACTATATCCTTATATACAACCTATAATTTATATACTACTACCAACACTAGATTAACTACTATGAATCCGGTGTTCCTCTTGTTGTGCTAACGAGGTATGGCAACTTGGACCGATGCATATATGTGCCTGGTCCTACGTTGTAGCTGACCTGACCTGACCTGATATCGTCAAATTGTTATTTATGGATGATGAAAATATTAATTTGTGAAACACGCAGATTATAAAGAGTAAAATGAAAAACATTATTTGGAACAAAAGGTCTGAGACCATAATGTTACCTAATACAATAACTATATTGGCATAAAACATATTTCACTATGAATAACTTACGAATTAAAATCAAGAATGAGAGTAGGTAGAAAGACAGTTTGACATGGATCGCAGTTTTACAGATGCTCAGATTGTAGTTGAAGAATGAGTAATAAAAACAAAATTACCTACTAATATTTAGAATTATGACATATTTGCTTCAGAGATGGAAAATAAATGGACCCATACTACTTTAAATACCACACTGCTGGAACTCAGCATTACATACACTACGTTATCGAAAGCAAAATCAAACAAGAACAACAAGATGATCTAGCCTAGATCCACAAATCTAACTCAGTCAGATACAACGTAGGACCAGGCATATATATGCATCGGTCCAAGTTGCCATACCTCGTTACCACAACAAGATGAACACCGGATTCATAGAAGTAGTTAATTTAGTATATAAAGAAAGGTTGTATATAAGGATATAGTATAGGAAGGAAGAGAGATATGAAGCAATTTTAATCACAAGGTTTAAGGGAAGATAAAGAGTGTATACACCAAATCTAAATGCCCGTCCGAAAACACCAGAAATACTCAGGAAACTCACCTACTCTCATTAATACTGTTTAATGTAAGTAGGAAAATGAAAAGTTAAATCAGCCAATCTTCTAGAGTTATCTCATGTAATGCAAGCCATAAAATCTAAAAAAACACCAGCATACATATAGAGTCCCAGGAAAGTATGCAAGAGTTGCGTTCAATAATGCATAACAGAATCCTATCTTAATTGCAAGCACTACATCTAGAACTGGATCACAAGAATAACAATTCTTTTTTACTTGTCACAACATAAGACCGTGAACAAGATGCGACTCACTAAATTTATTATCAATTGTAAGGCGGTTGGAGGTGGTTTATAGGAAACACTGAATCTAGATTTCATACAAATTCCAAGCCACTAACATGGAGTACTTGGAATCAATCGTGGGGGTACTGGTGTTCTGTAGGATTTGAATTTGTTTCATACAACGACATAATGTGAAATACTAACACTGAGCTATTCGGGTAGCGACTGATCTCTTGGAAAACTGAGATATTTACAATTGATCGGTTACAGTGCCAGTGACCGATCAATTGTAAATTGCCATTAATTTTTAGTCTTACCCATATAGTTTGATGTTGATCTATACATTTCCTAAGATGTGTAACAAATTTCTTTCTTTATCCTACTGTTGGGGATGTCAAATCCCCAGAACTTACTTGGTAAATGGCTTAGTTTTGTAATTTTATTTTGGAAATTTGAATTTAGCTGTTTTCGCGACAAACGCGCTCTTTTTACCTTCACGTCATATTTCCCACTTGTAAACTATCTTAAACGCTATTGGTCCATTGTTTCTTTGTGTGTGCTATTTATTAATGACGCTCAGGGACAATTTGTTGCTGTATAAATGCACTTGACTTTTCCCCTTATTGGATTGCTTGTACTCGGCTGCTTACGGAATACATATATTCCCCTACTTGCCTTGGACTTCTTCATCTAGTTAGCGGGGCCTGGGACAACAGATTAGAGTAGCTTATCGTGTCATTGTGTCATTGGCTTTCGTTCGTTACTGCGGAATCGATTTAGATCAAGCATATCACCTACAATCCCAAACACAACACATATATACACTCAGTAATCCTCCTAACAAACTATAATAACCACCAATTTTGTCATTCTTGAATTCATACGCTTAAAAATCATTCCTATTAACTGTAAGTCCTAAAATGAGAATATATATGTATATATCTTACATTTTCAAAAAATCTAAAAGCATCAATTGGTTGCGCAGCTCAAAAATACTTAGGGAAAAAAACATACATACAAAATAATTGACCAAAAGTCATCTAGCAACCAAACAAACTATCCCTACTATAATCTATAGTTGTTGTATAAAATATTAGCGGTATGCAAGTGAGAACCGATTATTTGCTTCATAGAAATTGATTATGCCTATTTCGACATATAACTCTGTACTTCATGTGCATACATACACACGAGTAACATCTCATAACCAAAATTACGTATCTATCAATTAAGAATGAAACAACTATAAATTAAAGCATGAAAAAGTAGAACTACTGACAGTTGTTTTTTTGAAGATGAAGTTGATCCGAGGATAGGGATTTTCATCATACATCAAACTTAAAATACATAATTTTTAATGAAAAGTACTTTCGAATTACAAGGAGCCAGTAATTACTAATTAGTACAACGGTCCACTGCTATTTAATTCAGATAGACTTTTGGAAGTTTTGATAGAAAGTTCAGAGAGTATTCTAGTCACTGATTTTTAACTAAATGGATCAAGCTTAACAATAACGTATTCGTCATAAAACTAGAATATTTCCCATCGAATTCTAAATGTATTGATGAATGTAATCAAGGCAAATATACAGATGTTCACTACAACTACAATATACTTGGAATGAATATGTTTGTTGCAAATTATTATCTATGTTCATTACTACTGATTGTTTCATAAAATATTCCAATACAATAAAAAGAAATTATTTGCTTGAAACTAGAGCAAGAGGCGAGATCCCAGAAATTGATTCAGTGATAAAAATAGCAATAAATCTTAAAATATACTGACTATGGATGATCAACAACAAATTTTTTACAATCTATCATAAACAAGACTCTATAATTCAGGAAAATGACTACGCTATAAAGTACTACTATTTAAAAATAACTTATAAGATAAATTTCTTGGAATACTCTAAAAAACATTTTTTTTCATACTGGAATGTCATCGCCTATAAAACTACTGGAAATCAAAGTGCTATAGATAACTATATACCGTTCTCATTTAGGATTTTTTAGTAATGTGTATTAATAATACATGAATAATACAAAGCCTTGACAGAAGCATCAAAGTAATAACCACTTCATATACTTCATTTACAAGCGATATTACAATTCTTTCAACGTTTCTTGCCATATAACTTATGTTTAATGCTGTTCTAACACCTTTCTTGGTTAAGTTAATACAAATCGATCCAATAAGGACTGAGTGGAAAAATGTTCATCTACTAATTGGCTACGGAGAAAAGTATAGCGTTATTTACATGTATGTCCACATATGTGTTAATGGAGAGAGATATCAATTGATAACTCGAAACAGAACAAATTTAAGAAGCAATTCCATTATGTAAAGTGATGATAAAAACTAAGTACCAAGATGGTATTTCAGATTAAATGTAGACAGAGATGTCTTTACGAACTCAGATATAGATTTATGATGAATGCACAAAAGTAATTAAGTCCGATAGCGGGGTATTCACCTCCAAATACATATTATGATTTGTAATTTACTAAGAGGTTTTTTCTAAGAAATCTATCTCTACTTGAGTGTTTACTAAAACGAAAGTATTAGAGTATACCATAAATATGATAAGTGTGAACGGTGGTATAGATAACCAAAGTTAAAAACTTTTTAAATGAATTAATGTTCAATAATATTAGAGTTTATCGATCATTGTGAAAATGAAGCCAAATGACATGGTATTTTGGTGTGCTACAGATAGTAAAATAAAATTCAAAAATATTTGAAAAAAAGGCATTGAAAAAGAAGCTTTATCTTACCAGTTTCAACACGTGAGTCTAGTTGATCCTGTGGTAGTAAATAACATGTGAGATACTGTTCTTGTGTAACAGGATCTACATCTCTTTGCAACGTAATAACTGGTTGAGATTGATTCTGTGAAAGCCATAAAGCTGTCAATGAGCATCTTGATAAACTGAATGGTAAACGATCAAGTCTAGAAAGTAATTTCAATAATATAACAGTCATTTGAGTAAATAAATACAATCATGAACTAAAAAGCAAGAATACCCTCTAAAATAGAAACCAAACATTATTATATTATCACAGTTAAAATATGAATCGACCTTTACTGAATATGATTTGATATACATTTGATGGGAAAATAAAAGGAGTAACTGAAACCTTGTCGTGTAAAGAAATGATTATATTTAAAAACCGAATTCAGGGATGACAATTGAATGAGTAAACAAATATAAATTAAAGAAAATGTTATGATAAGTAATAAGTGATACCTTGAATAAGATTGCTTGTATTAGGTTCAGTGGAATTACATCGTTTAATGTATATAGTTTTAACCAGTCTAAATCTAACCATTTCATTATGAAAATTGAATTTAATGCACGCTTCTTTGCGAATTCATCATAGAAACTATATATATATATATATATATATATATATATATATATATAAGGTTACGTTCCAAAAGTTTTTAAAAACGGGAGAATAAGTATAAAGTATGTTAACCTTGAATGTATTTCATGTACTTTGAAATAAATTTTTGATTTAGTGAAAATTCCCATTCTGACATTTGGTAAATAAAAAAGGAACGAATCGAGTTGATTGTTACGTAAGTGAACATCAAAAACTTCTGCAGTACATTTCTTACTTATTGAGTTAAGCCTTTTACCCCCAATAGAGCATAGGCTGCCGACCAGCATTCTCCAACTCGCTCTGTCCTGAGCCTTTTTTCTAGTTCTATCTAGTTGTTGTTCATTCTTCTCATATCTGTTCCCATTTCTCGGCGTAGTGTGTTCTTTGGTATTACTCTTCTCAACTTCCAGCGCTTCTTTCTGATTTCTTCCTCCGCTGAAATATGGTTTGTCCTCTCACACAGTAGGTTGTTGCTGGTAGTGTCTGGCCATCGGATCCGAAGTATCTTGCGTAGACGACTTTTAACAGACACCTGTATCTTCCGGGTAATGGCTTTCGTAGTTCTCCAGGTTTCCACCCCATACAGTAGAACTGTCTTGACATTCGTATTGAAAATTCTGATCTTGATGTTGGTTAAAAATTGTTTTGAATTCAAGATGTTCTTCAGTTGTAAATATACTGCTCTTGCTTTGCCGATCCTCGCCTCACATTTGCATCAGACTCACCGTGTTCATCAACGATGCTGCCCAGATATGTAGAGCTTTTCACATCCTCAAAAGCCTCTCCGTCAAGTGTAATTTGATTGACGCATGCTGTATTGTATCGGAGAATCTTGCTTTTCCCTTTGTGTATATTTAGACCTACTGCTGCTGAGGCTGCTGCTTCAATGATCGTCTTCTGCATTTGTTGTTGCGTGTGTGATAGAAAAGCCAGATCGTCCAGCTGCGTCCTAACTGTACATTGTATCCCATGCTTCCCTCAAGATGTTGACGTCTTTATAATCCAGTCGATCACCAGGAGAAAGTGAAAGGGTTAGAGTAAGCAACTTTGCCTAACACCGGTTTTTATTTCGAATGAGTCTGTCAACTGTCCTCCACGAACGATTTTGCAGTTTAATCCAGCATATGAATTCCGTATGATATTGACTATCTTCTCGGGTACGCCGTAGTGTCAAAGAAGCCTCCATATTGTTGTCCTGTCCACGCTATCAAATGCCTTCTCGTAGTCAATGAAGTTGATGTACAGTGATGAATTCCATTCAATTGATTGTTCCACAAGGAAATGTAGAGTCGCGATTTCGTAGGTACACGATCGATCCTTACGGAATCCAGCATGCTGGTCTTGAAGTTGGGCGTCTACGGAGTCCTTCATTCTGTTTAACAACGCCCTGTTGAAGACTATTTCTAATATTGAAAGGAGAGTGTTGCCCCAGTAGTTATCACATTTGCTGAGATCGCCTTTCTTTGTAATTTTGATCAGAAGTCCTTCTTTCCAGTCTGTTGGTACTTGTTTTTCATCCCAAATCTTACTGAAGAGAGTATGGAGTATCTTTGCAGTTGCTGCTATATCTGCTTTCAGTACCTCTACCGGGATGTTGTCTGGTCCCGCTGCTTTGCCGCTCTTGATTTGTCTGATGGCCATGCTGATCTCTTCAATTTTTGGTGGGCCAACATCGATTGGGAAGCCCGTGGGTGCTACTTCGATGTTCGGTGGGTTCAGTGGAGCTGGTCGATTCAAGAATTCTTTGAAGTGTTCTACCTACCCGTTTTGTTGTTCTTCAATGTTGGTGATTATCTTGCCTTCCTTGCTTCTCACTGGTCGTTCTGGTTTACGGTAATTTCCAGCGTGTTTCTTTGTTGTATCATCTTATGTATCTCATGTTTATCCGGGCTCGGGACCGGCAGTAATCCCAGAGGGGCTCCAGGTGGGTAGTTAGTATATTCAAATATATGACATTATAATTACAACAATTTCTGAAAAATAAATATAAACCTACCTATTCCCAGAAACATCCAAAACTCGTAAACGTGTACAATTACCAATTTCATCGGGTAATCTATGCAAATTATTTTCTCGAAGAGACAAAATATTGAGTGATGTACATTGACCAATCTAATAAAATTTGAAGAATAAAAGGAAGGTGAAGGAGAATTAAAATATATGGAACAAGGAAAGTAAAAGAGGCGAACAAATCAACAAATAAAAAGCCCAATAAAATACGCCATAAAATAAACTTAACAAATCAGACAAGTTGAATAACTAAGTCGACTGTACTAGGTTAATATTAGTGAATATCAATTAACTCACCCACCAGTTACTTGAATATAAGACACACTTTAAGTGTGAGGGCTAATTATACTACTTGGTTTTCCAAACTGACATAAGTGTATTGGGGTTCGACCCTGGGACTTGGTGTCTGAAAGTCAAACGCCTGAACAACTAAGCCATTGGCTCTATATTACCTTCTTGTATTATTGTGTACAGTCCATCCATTAACCAGTTGTTAGTTTAGTAGGATAGATAGAGTTTACAACGAATAAATAAACAAATAAAATGTATGCACTGTAACATTCACATAAAAGATTCACACTTTATTTACGGTTGTTAGTGTAGTTAAATCAGTTCGCTGTCACTTTTATGTAGAACTATAAAACCGAATTGCATAAAGTAAAGAAAATATGCATAAAACAAACTTATTATTGCTACTATTACTACAACTACTACTACTAACATTTGTATTATCAATACAACTGAATCTATTTAATAGTAGTACATACAAAATAAACTACAATTACTATCTGCTTTCTGAATACAATATAAAGAGATTTGTGGCATATAATGAGTAATTAAGTCATATGTTGTGACGTTTCGCATATATATATATATATATATATATATATATATATATATATATATATATATATATATATATATATATATAGAGAGAGAGAGAGAGAGAGAGAGTAGTGTACAACAAATACATTTGGTGAAACTAATATCCATACAAAACATTATCGACAAGGTAACATAAAATATACATCTAACTGCTAGAAGTTGGTTCAGTTTGAAATAAAATTACAGATTGGTTAAAGCTTTCTCCTACAGGTCAAATCGAATTGTGTTTGGATTTAAATAAAGAAAAAATTATGGAATTCACTGCACGCAAAATGAAAAGAAAAAAGTATATGATATACTTTGATTTGGAAGATCAATCAGTCTTGATTGCTTTTAGAGGTATGAGGACGGTTATCACTTCTCGGTCGCCCACACTGTGGACGGGATTTTCTGGAGATAACTGAAAAGAAAATTGGGTTAGAATTTCTCTTACTGATCCGAAAGCGTGACCGCAGTGCTCAAGGGACAACTGCTTGAGGCCGGTCACACAGGACCTTTTTGTGGGTAGTTTTTGTGTTAGCTCCCTACTTGTTGGGACCTTACCGCCGGAGACGGATATTCGTGGGATAAGGCGAGGTGTGCATTTTTAGGGTCAACCTTTTCTAACCCCAACTTTCTTTTGTGGAAAGGCAGCATCACCGTTATGCTTGTTGTCTGAGGGAACTCCATCTATGGTCAAAGAAGGTGGTTAACAGGTAGTCACTGACACTTCGATATTCATATGAAAGTAACACAAACGGCTGTAAAACTTCAACTGGGAAAATTGAATCTGTTAGATACACTGCTTACTAGGAATAATCATATCACATAAACCCATATTATTTGTTTGAATAGATAAACCTGATAGAGCGTGGACAACACCCAGAACCATCCGCTCCAAATTTTCCCGAAGTCAAGTACCATGAACAGCATAAAACAACCAATAAACCAATAAACTAAATAATAACTACCGCTTCTTTAACGAATATGCACTTTTGTCGAAATACAATTATGTATTAACCTATTTAACTTGGCTTTAAGTAGATAACATTCGAAAAAATGCTACACTAAAAGGTATGCGACGATATATATATATATATATATATATATATATATATATATATATTGAGAAAGAAATTTGATTACTTATTCAGTTACTAGGTTAACGATTATCGGTCATAATCAATCCGCACCAAGCATCTATTACATAAACATAACAAAGAATATGCTCATTTCAAATTCACATTATCACCACTACTACTGTGGTGTGGGTTACTTATATCCACATAAGTAGTATGTGATGGTCAGGTATAGAATGTATTTCAGCAAGAGATGGATAACGAAAGAAGGGAAACGAAACGCGATTGGTATGAAAATGCATGAACAATGAAATCAGAAACGATGAACTGATATTTGTAGAAGGAACAGTCAAGATTGAGACAATTGATTGATAGATTGCAAATTAACTGTTTACTGTATGGTTATCAGATTTTAGTGAGATATTCTGTAATTTTGTTCTCAAATGCATTTGATTGTTCCCACCCGTGTTCTTGTTCACTGCACCACTGGTACTATTTATTACACAATTTACATAATTTCATAAGATAGTTCAGTGGAATTAAATGCAGTGAGAATCAGCTAATTTGATTAAACCAGACAACACGGTTTTGACATGTTTTATCTACACTAGGTAAAGAATGTCTAGAAAATGTATTACGTTTTTACTTAATACTTATTTTTACGTGTTTAGTCTTTGATGACATATGAGATTTATGTAAAGAAATCCCTTAATAAAAGCAGAATCAAAGACATCTGAATCCGAGGGAAATAACAAATAAGTGGGAATCATAATAGTGAAAGAAGAAACGAATGCATAATAAAAAGGAAAATATTTAGACAACATCAAGAGCAGTAGTGAGAAAATAACAAAACGCTAATAATTTCTTACCTCAGAGGGTAACTCAGTCAGTTGATTTTGATCAACATTCAGATGAAACATGGAGACTAAATTGCCAATAGAAGACGGGAGTTTCTGAAACGCATTTAGTAATATAGAAACACAATAACATAATGATACACACCAATAAACAATTACGTATAAGTGCACTATACTGTAAGTTACAAGCGTATGCAAACTTTATGAGCTAGGTTATCTCTGTTAGTTAGAGCTGTAGGTTTAACGTTGTCACAAATCACCAAAACATTTCGCAGTCCCCGGTAGATCGACAGAAAAATTCGAAAGACAATTGTAGTCTACTCATATTTTTATGAATTCAACTGTCATCTGTTAAAGTTATATATTGGAAGACAGCCGAGTTTGTTGCAGATATACATTTACACATTACATAAAAACTCTGTAACATAGATGGAAATCCATAGGAATTATTCTAGTCACTGAAGTAACGAATTGGATAGGTGTCATAAATGAAAAGCAAATCGATCAGTTAGAGAGAAAATGTAACTGAAAAAAATTAAAGCAATATAGCCGAATAAGCTCAGTCAATTATCATTACTTCACTAAACGCCAAGCAATTAAGATTTTGTAACTTTCCTACTAAATTCGCAAGACTATAGAATATAGTAAACTATTTACAGGTGATGAAACTTTGTTTAAACTCAAAAAACATACTTGTGTACACGGTGAGTATTCAAGAAAATTTTAAAAATAATCAAAACGAAAGAAAAATTCTAGGAGTACCAGGTTGTAACAAGTTGTCAGATGTCACAAGAGAACATAATCATTATGATGACTGTAATTTAAAGGAATAATTATTTTGTAACCAGCTACTATAGGACAAATATCAAATATACTTCAACCATAAATGTACATTAAGAAAACATTATCTTCTGTAGAACGCTGTCATAAAAAATGAATCAATATATATATATATATATATATATATAATGCACAGGTTCGACATCGTGTGTTCGGGCGCAGAGACGATAATCCCATTGAAACATAGACTTTGGTGGTTTGAACATGTTCTATGAATGTTATCCCAGAGACTTCCACGTCGTGCATTATTTGCCGACTCTGGGACTGGTTGGAAAAAGCGGAGAGGTGGTCAGTGTATGACATGATGTCGTTGTATGAAAGAAAGCTGCAAAGGGCTGGCTTCTGTTGGTCCTTCATAAATCCCTGGCTGGGGTCCGAGAGATGGTGCAACACAGTGGCTAGAGACGTTATCAGATATGGCTCAAAATAGAAGCCAGTGGCGATCCTGCTGTAACCTTCTTTTACTTTCTTCATAAAGAGTGGCCGTAACTTCTCTGACTGAAAGAATTGTTTTTGGTTGTACCTTTCTGTTTCCCCCATTATTACTCTTATTATTACGCTAACATACACTCTGTGCTTCTTGCTGTTCCTTTTTCTTCTTATATGCACCTCTTCCCATTCTAATTGTTTTGTGTGGTATATATATATATATATATATATATATATATATCTGGTGTCCCCTTGTACCAATATTTACGTGTTTAAATAAATAATTACATACTTTAGAATACTTTCTATTATAGGATTAATTGGAGGTACAATTTTTCTTCCTTATCATAACTGATTGACCTATGCTTGACACGTCTGTAGCATGATGGAATGGTATTTTCGTGGTAGAAAACTTAAAATTTCTCATGTAAGCCAGAAAAACGACAGATAACTAAACATACCGACCATAATGGATTACAAAAAAGTAAATAACATATCCCGCCTCATTTTGGTTGATTACCGAGGGTAAGGCCTGAATTGAGGACGAAAGTACGATTTATCTTCACCCAAGAGTTCCTTTTTCGGCGAATTCATTTTCAAAACTTTTAAAAGTCATCTACAGGGTAAGTAGAAAGTTTCCAAAGACAGTTATATTTCATCTTCTTAACATTACCGAAGCACTAGCTATACATATGGAAAAACTAGAATTGTGTCCAGATGAAACTTGCACAACTTTTCCTTCTACCGTGGTCTTAATCTTTCGTAATTTTTTTCTATCTTCTTTTGCATCCGTCTTCTCAATAAACCTTTACTCCCCAACTGATCTATTGAAAATTATGAGTGAGCACTGTTGAGGAGGTTTCAAAATATTACGAAACAAGTGTTCAATGCTATCTAATTTTCAGATGATTTTCCAGTTGATGTCAGTTTATGATCAAAGCTACAATTAAGTTAAATCAAATTCCCACAAAACGATTTTAATTAAACATAGTATAAAGATGGTCTTCTGTATTCAAAATGTTATATTGAACATAGTCAAACTAAATATTAATATATACTTACAGAAAGAAAATTTTCAGTTAAATATAATTCTTGTAAACTGGAACAGCTGAAATTAACAAAAGAAAAGTATATTTTTATAAATAAAATTTAATATTGAGTAATGAACATAACCAATATGATAAAATTACCATTTAATTTGTTAAATAGAAAGATCTGCATTACGACAATAAAAGTAATATCTATCTCGCAGTGAGCAATTTAGAAATATCACTTTTACACATCGTTTAGTGGTTTATGCACGAGGATTTCCATCACTGCGTTTCGAGATCGAGCGTTACTTCAACTACGTCAGTTTAGTTAGTCGGATAGTATCCTCGTAGCTACTGCAAATATATGTATCCCAGAGATTAGTACGCGAACGTGTAACAGGTTCGTTTGGAGAGAATTTCTCATACATAATGAGTTTCAGCGAGTTATCCATCATTATCACGATAGTCAAAGTTTTGAGAAGCAATTGTGGAATTAGCTATGGGAGAATCGAATAAAGTCAAGGATTAACAGTGCAAATGTATTACATCGTCAGAAGGATTAATGAAAAAGTACATCCACTAAAAATGAAGTATGTTTTGTTTCTTATTCAAACAATAAAAAATTCAAACCTTGAGGACATAGGATTATAAAAGAACACGAAAATTATTCGTAACTACCACACCTGGAGAACACATTAGATAGGCAATCCAAACACTAAATCATAGTCTTCCCAATGGTGAATCAATGGATAAACGTTATGACACGTTCCCCTTTCATGTGAATAGCCACAGAAATAAACGACTCTTAAAATGTGGAAGTACTACATAGAAAAAACAATACCTCAAAGAATTTCCAGTGTGCAGTAGCGAATGAGGTTAAAATGTCTGTAGGCCTAATGAAATATATTCAATCACCAGGAAAACTCAGTGAAACGCAGATCCAAACAATGATTAACACAAGGAGTGAGAACAACAAAATTATTGAGTCAGGATACCAATCAACTGATAAAAAAACTGTCACATTTGATTTTGTTTCCAAATCTATTTTATCTAACAATATTGTCTAGTATGCTTATGAAAACCAAACACAGTAAAACTAATTAACGCACAGAACTACATATATGTATGATTCCTAACTTACTTTCCTATAGCTGGCGTTACTGTTAGCAGTCGATTTTGATTGAGTTTTAAAATGATCAACTTGTCTAAATCACCTTAAAAATGAAAATAATGATAACAAGTAACCAAAAATTATTAGTACCATCAAAGCTTTAAAATGAATCAATATACATACGAAAATAAAGAAAACTTTATGAATACTTTTTTAACTTCTTTATCTTTAACAGCACACCATACATTTTTGATTATTTACAATCGTGCAAACTACATCGATATATATATATATATATCAAATAAAACTTTTTATTATCAATATGATAATTTACATGAATGTTGACTTCAGAGGTGACGCACATATTGGAGAAGATAATCGCAAACGCCTTCAAAATAACATTCTTCGGAATAATCTTGAGAAAATTATTTACCACTGGACCTATATTTATCAAGATCATAAACAGTTAACTGTTTCAATATCTGCTAGCCAATTTACCTGTTCCTGTAGGGCAGTATATATTGGTCATTCGGTAAGCATTTATTCCAAGAGCGTTTAGAAAACGTATGCTGAATGGTTAAAGAAACGTAAAAGTGGATGTACAAGAAGTGTAGTTATAGAAGATCTTGTCAATACCGACCCCGAAATTATAGGAGGTTCATTTTGCAAGGTCCTTTACAATTTAACTACAAGACTGATAAAAACGGTATGTTTCTATCTATTTGCTATTGTTGAGGCTCTCATGATGTACAAAGAAGCCATAACTATGAACACGAAATAAACTTGTCCTGCATCCCATCTTATCATGAACTGGATCTATAAAATTTTTAAATATTAAGTTTATTCTATGCTTTGTTTGTTAGATTTTACAAATTATCCTTGCTCTCCATTAAGTTATTGAAATTGTAATCCAAACATCTACTTTTGTTTGCATGATCATCTCTGATGTTTATATCACCATACTTAGTAAATAGATTCCATAATAATCATTTTCTATCAACTTTCTACAAAATTCTCAGTTCAACTTTGATTCAATAATTAAATATGAGTGAAAATTTTTTTTTAACTTTTGTCGCTGTAGTTAGTCATTGCAATTATAGATTATCATAGTGAAAATATATAAATATGCTATTGTCAAAGGATCTTTTCAATGAACCACATTCTTGACTCGCTGTACAACTGTGAGAAATAATTTCAGTTAAGCTAAAACTTATTTAAGTTTAAGTACTCAAGTTCGAAAGAATAACCTGAAGGTTTGATTACTTACAGAGATTTAAACGGTTACATACAAAATATTTATTATATGATGGTTATGCGACTTAAAGGTCAGCATTTAAACAAGTAAAATTTTCTATGTTTTAAGTCAGACCATTAGACAAGTAATATACAAATTAAGTAGAAAAATTAAAATGTATCAGAATACTCGGGAATATTGTATTTCCGAACTTTGGTATATTTTTTCATGTTGATAATAATGTGCAAAGTTTGATTATTTTAAATCCGCAAATATTAATAATATATTGTCTCTAACGTCTTTAGTTAAATCTTTGTAAGTTAAACATCAAACCTAGATGTTTAAAGCAGAAAAATATGGAAATGTTCCCAGGAAGAATATGCAAAACTTCATTTTCTTGTACATCAATTAGAATAATCACTACTCTTGCCCGGTGTCTGACAGGTATGACAGCAGATATCAAAATAAAAAACGCCTACTGATAAAATATAAAAATAAGGCTCTTTTGGAAAAAATAATTATATATATATATATATATATATATATATATATATATATATATATATATATATATATTTGTATTATTTCTATTAATAACAATCTACTCGATATTCAATTTATTTGAGATTATCATGTACAGGCTATAATATCATCAATAGTAATATTAATAAATTACAATTCCTTACCTAAGCCATTTGGTAAATGTGTTATGCTATTTTGTGATAAATTTAAGTCCGATAATGAAACTAATCCCGAGATGCTTTCAGGCAGAGTAGAAATAAGGTTTTCTGATAAATCCAACTGCTGTAAATTCCCAAGATTTCCCAACTCCTTGTAGTTTGATTTTTTCGTATACCAAAAAAATGTAATGTTTAGCAAAGTGAAAGTAAATGAAATAAAATCATTTATATATTAAGATCTACGGCTGGTCCTTTTTTTACATAAACAAAATGTATGCACAACACAATCGTGTAAAGACAAAGTAATACAAGAAATAGAAATGTTTAGCTCCCCCTAACCACCACCAATGTAATTAATGGCTGGAGACAGTGGGTGACATGGCTCAAAACCGGTCACAATGGCCCAGATGCATTATCTGTCTTCCCTCAGATCATGAGTTCTAAATTAATCTTACACTAGTTATTCGGTGAATTCATTTTTTACTCCTGAAACGTAGGGTCTGCGCATAATTTTTTTACTACAACTGACTGTTACTACTTCTATTATTCTGGTACTAGTCTACTTCACGTAAACATAATTGGCATTATGCGAGACTGGTTGGTCCTGGGTTCGGATCTCGTGAGACAGGATCGTAGATGCGCACTGCTGAGGAGTCCCACAATTGGGCGAAACGGCTGTCCAGTGCTTCCAGGTTCTTCATAGTGGTCTAGCTTCAATTGACTCATGATTTCAACTATATATAAAAAAGATAACTTGTTTTATTACAGACACGAAAGCTATTACGCTTTCCACTAGTATGTTGATAAAAAAACGAAAATTTCATTAAAATTACATCTTACTTTAGGTAATGATCTCAATTCATTATCATCTATCCATAATTCGCTCAATTGGGAGAGCTGACCAATTACGGGAGACTAAATAAAAGTGAAAAGTCAATTTTAAGAGAAATAAACTCTGTACAACCACAAAAACATTGTTACAATGAAATATATGTGTACATAATGCAAATGTAATTCCTGGGAAATGATAATTACCTTCTACCCACCAATTCAATGGACGGTTAAGCGAACTAGACTAGTTTATATTGTGGATGTGGGGATGGTGGCTAAACCACATACTTAATACCTGTTAAATACAAGTTTATAATGGTTAAGTTTGTATACACCACTTTCCAGAAGTTGGGTCTTATTATTACCACTGAATTCTGTATTGTAGTGTGTTTGATTGGTAAGTCAGGAAGGCACAGAAATTAATCTGAAGCAGAGGATTAAGTGTAGTCACCTTTTGACAACTTATATGTTTCACACTTATGGGATAGAAACAGTGTTAAAATGAGCAAACAGTTTCTTTAGACGATAAAAGTGGGGAAAAAAACTCACCAACTCTTGAAACTCATTGGCTCCAAGATCAAGAAACTCCAAATGAATAAGATCAGCGAAAGAATCTGGTATTGACTTGAGACAATTATCACGAAGTTCTAATTTTTCTAGTAACTGTAAACTGAACAAAAATAAAGATTTATCATGCCACGACCAGTCTTAATTAATTTGAGGTCTTTTAAATATGTCCATCAGAAAAATACAATCTTCACTCTTTGATGTCAATTACAATTTGCTTACAAACAATGGCAGTTGGCATCCATACAAACTTGGATGATTCTAGCGCGATTAATTACTTCTTTTTGGGCGTTTACCTGTCAAATGCGGCTGTCAAACAACAACATAAAATCGATAGTGGACGGAGACTGACTAAAGATACTACGTGAACTATGCTGGAACAAGACCTAATGCTCATCCCGCTTAAGCTTTCTGCAACACTATTATACTAATGAAGCTTAGTATGACATTTAAATTAACACACATTCGGGCTAGGCTTTGTGTTGAATATAAATGACTAGTAGAGCTCGGGTAATAAATTAATATAGTTAATACAGAAAAAGCCTTATCGTTGGCATCCGTGATTTTTCATAGATTTGTTTCAAATTTTAAGAACAACAATGCAACCGGATTTTTCCTCTGTTACTTCCGATAGTATTCAAATGGTACTTAAAAGATAACTGTACGATACTAAGATTTTTAAAATTCTGTAGGTAGCAGATCCACCCAGGTCACCAGGTTGACTGAAAACAATGAATAAACAACACTATGAAAGGTAGTGAAAAAATCAACCAAAATAGCTAATACATTACATCCTATTTGTTTACTTCGAAACCCTGAGCACCTCATTGACAATTTATTTTTTCTGCAAAATCATTTAGGCTCTATAGAACTAGTTTCAAGTGTAACAACTCGAATCTGCGAGATTTCTTTCAACATTCCAGGTTTAGACGTTTGTCAGAATCATTCAAATAAATTTCGACTAACAGCAATAAATCAACCGGCCACGATTAGCTTACGGAAACAAGTAATGCTTTTAAGTATTTCCTTTTACATTTTCACGGAATGAAATTGAAGTAAAACCGAATCAATAACCATATATTTTTTGCTACGGTCAGCATAATTTACGAGTCGGAAAATTATCACCCGAGTAAGTTTTCAAGCCCAGTCTCATAAATAAAAACCAATTAGTCGCCCAAATTTAGTTCATCAGACTAATATTATATCAATAAGTCATGTCTTTCAAGATCATTCTAACACGTTAAGCGCTATGTTGTACATCTTTTGAGATTTCTCTTTATGTTGCTGAAGAAACTTGAACTGGTTTGCTAATATGCCGAGTTCTAAGTTAGGTTATTATTCAAGTGATTAAAAGTGACGCCTTTAAAAACATGTATAAAGTAGCACGATGCTAGTATATAGCTAGTAAACTGGTTCGATATTTCACTGACGATTACAAAAACAACAAAAGGAAACCTACCTGCCTATTTCTTCTGGAAGCTCAGCAATCGAAATATCATTGAGGCATAAAACTCGAAGATTGCGCAACTGGCAGAACCCAGCAGGTAAGCTAGAATCGGTAGAGCGGGATAGATAAGTTAATTTAGTCGGAAAATTCAAAGTAACATGAAATGATAAACTCAGATTTTGTAATACTTATAAAGTCACATTCTGTTTTGAAAAAGATGCTACTATACTTTTTCCAAGAGAAACACTAGCAACTGATTCTACGTCTTTATTAACATAATACAATACATATATTTATGGTCATTGTAGTTCAAAACGCAATTAATTTGAAGTAGACAGAATCACAAACTTTCAATTACAAGTTTGAATTCACTTAGTATTGTTTGTTTGGATCTTCCCATCGATGTGTTTAGGACTGCAACTGATCAGTCTCTAATTGGCATATGTGCATACTGTGCGTATTGCCTCGATATACCTTAATTCACAAGCATGGTAAGCAGAGATGGATAGTGGCTAGCAGTTGCAGTCCTAAACACATCGATGGGAAGATCCAAACAAACGATACTAAGTGAATTCAAACTTCACCCCAACGCACAAGCAAGTGGCTATCAGGACTCAGTGGCCGAGTGGATAACGCGATGGCGTTTGAAGCGAGGGTACTGGGTTTGAGTCCCAGAGTGAACATCAACTCTGAGATGCAGGTACATCCAGATGACGAGTCCCAAATAGGACGAAACGCGCGTCCTGGATTCCACTGCTAGCCACTATCCATCTCTGCTTTCAATTACAAGGTTTTAAAGTGATGAAGGAAACCAAAAGTGAGCTAATTAGTTGTGTAAACATCTGATTTTTATGCACAGCAAATAATTATTATATAGTATCCCACAATAGGCACCATTTATTACCATTTATATGAACATGAGATTACACACGAAATTCAAACCTTCAGTTTTTGACACTGGAAAAAGGGGAATATAGTTTGAACTTTCACTGAAAATATAAGGTAATAAATACCATAGACTATAAATTCCATTCAGAAAGACAGATAACCAGCACAAAACCTTGAGTAACCCAATAAAAGAAACTACCTCATCTTTCAAACTTAATTCTAAACATATTGATAGTATTTAGACTAAAGTCCACTTGTCGATATCTTAGTTAGCCATATTAACAACGAAGTATACCTTTAGTTCATTATGGTAAAGTATATTTCCTTCATTTTTATCTGGCAAATGTGACATGAAGCCTGGTAGAGCGAGACTATAATTTATGGACGAGCCAATCAGAGGCGTTTGAGGATTTCAAAGTTACGGCGCAAATTTCAGTACCTGATGCTCATTTACAGACGGTTCACAGAGGATTTTAGGGAAGACTTGACGATTGAGCGGCTACAATGAATGGGACTACTAATAAGTTCCTTTATTTGTAATTGCAGTAATCAAATGACTTGTAGACCTTGTGAAGACTAACATGATATTGTCCTTCGATGTAACATATTTCAAGAACTGGATAGAACTAGAAAAGGAAGCCCAGGACAGAGTGGGTTGGAGAAAGCTGGTCGGCGGCCTATGCTCCATTGGGAGTAACAGGCGTAAGTAAGTAAGTAAGTATGTAACATATTTCGAAGGAAGACGTTTGCTAGAATAGGAACCTTTTTCGTTCGATCCAGATTGAGACTAAGGCATATTATAATAATTGCCGCGAACTGTGTGATAAAAGCACCAGTAACATTGGCTGCAATAATCGCAGATGTTACTGAAACTTCGGCTGTTCAGCGATATGAGTATTGTAGGGATATATCCATAATAAAAATGATAAGCTTACACAACTGGAGTACACACAGACAATACTTAAGTTATGTGGTCGAGGCTGAGAGCGTTTTTGTGACCTTAACATGTCTCAAGAGACCGACTATTATGGAGCCATACAGTTGAGTTCCTCTACCTTATAAATTACCATTTTTGACCTTTGAACCTCCTTCTAACCTTGAAAAGTTTTGGACCATATAAAATAAGTGTATCCACTTTAATTCTTTGGTTTTGTGTAAAGTATTTTTAATCTATGCTGACTTTACTGACTGGATAAAATCCCTCAAGGTCACTTAAGATTCGTTCAAAGGTCGTCCATAAATTATAGTCTCGCCCCTGGTAGTTCTTCATGATTTTCGTTAAGTTTTCGAGACATTAAAGAAAGGGTACTTGAAAAGTAAGATTCGTGATAAGACGACTTAATAGATGAATCAACGAAAAAGCCCACAAAGGCCCTGGTACGGCCGAGAGTGGGGAGGGCCCGCTGTCCCTCTCCAAATGCTCTCACATGGCCAGCGAATATATAGCCTCTGACAGGGAAGTCCTACTCACTGCCTTATCGTGGCAGGGGTGTTGTTTACGAAATTGAGAGGAAGAAAAGCGAATGTCCGGCGCTTTAACCGGGTTAGTGGATGTGGAGGATCCACCTAGGGGAGTTGGAAAACACTGATTCCAAACCAATGGTGCACATGGGCTCCAGTATCCTGAGGGAACAAATGGCGTACGAATAAATCGTTGATCACCGGCTACCATGGGAATGCATCTCCTCACGATGCTCCACTGCCTTGTGGATCAGATCTTTCGGTCAAAGGCTCCGGGTGTGGGCCCCTAAGAAAACCATCCGCTTCAGTTCGGGCACCTGGAAAGTATCACAGCCCTCACACAAATCGAATGAGATTTGTACGGCGCATATGTATCTGGTGCTTCCTTGTACCAAAATTTATGTGTTTAAATAAAAATAAATAAAATAAACGAAACTACTTAGTGAGTCGAAACGGAATAAATATGAATTTTTAAATTGTGTTTAGTAAACAGCTATGTTCTACCGAGGCCCCGTAACACTGAAGGTTGGGCTTTATTACTACCCTTCGATGTTTGATATTTGTAAATACCAAAGGCATTTCAGGGGTTGGAAACCCAAAAATACGACAGTAGAGATATGTTACTGGTAGTTATAATGAAGAGTTGAAACATTCAGACGAAATACAGGTGGCATGAACATATAACTATCTAGTTAGTTATATTTTGACACAGACAACTAAACTTTTACTTAACCGCAAGAATTAATACTACTACATCGGTTTAAATTTAGTGCATCTATCACGAGCACAAACCGGACATTCGTATACCATATTTCGGTGAGACTATAATTTATGGGAGACCTTTGAGCGACGCCAAAGTAATCTTGAGAGCGTCTACCTACTCACTAAGGCTAAATGAAGGTTACGAAGTAATTTGAAGGATAAAGATTATGATTCATAGTTGATGGTTAAAATTAGGAATTAGATTTAGGGTTTTTCAACACGAACTGGTATCAGCCAAAATGCTAAGACACTATTTGGATAGTTGGGTGATTGGATTTTGCGCCAAAATTCAAGGCCTATCGTCCTAAATCCGATCAGTTCGTCCATAAATTATGGTATTACTCATACTTTAATTATTAACAACTCACCTTTGCAAAGGATTATTGCTTACATCCAAACTCTGTAAGGAATCACAGAACCGAATACTCGCAGGAAGCTCAGATATATCTAGATATATGAAGAAACTTCAGCCGAAATCATACCATTTCTACTAATATCCAACTCTACAAGATTAGAAAAGCTGCCAATTCCAGTTGGTAAGCGTGTTAGTTCATTATCACTCAGTGTGAGGAGACGAATGCGCTTCAGGCGGAAAAAGTTCTGAAACAAATCACAATAAAAATTATAATGTCCATTCCATCTCACGCAAGATTGTGTTGAAAGTATTTCTAAATACCTTTGGTAATTCCTTGATTTGATTTGCGTCTAAGCGGCACTCTTCTAAAGTGCGAAAATTTCTTATGACGTCATCTGGAACCTGTTCAAGCTTTGAATGACGCCTGTCAATATGATCTGTATGTCGACCACAAGGTCCAATGATTGGCAAACACTTGAACATTATGAGTCACAAATACGCATTTCGTAACATCCCGCCATTTTGAAGTGAAGGTTTTGCAGTCACAATGATTCAGTAGAACACACTCAATATGTTGCTTTGAAGACAGAGATCGATTGTTCCCCGTTAAATTTCTTCATAATCCAGCCTTCTTTTGAAATTTTTGATATGTTCAGCCCTAGCAAAATCATTCGGCAGTCAGACTACTGATTTATCAACAGTCCACCGATCGTCGTCAAGGTCAAGGACAACCAATGAGCAACAGTTAACTGCATGTCATGGACTTGTCCATGCGGTGGTGGTTGCACTCTCGTCCTTGCACCTACGCTTGCTAATATATTACTGTAATACAGTTGTTCCTGATGATAGCCATGGAACGTGCATACGACGAGTGGGTAACCCACATTAAGTACTAACCGCAAGGTGTAACTTTGACGTTAGTTGACACACATCTTCAAAATGTAAAACTGTCAGTCAGCTGACAAATAATTGACTCTTGGCTTTTGAAAACTTTTTTCAGTGTAATCTTAAGTTCGCTGATTTGGAATGCGAGAAAACGGAGTTCACGTGAGACAAAAAAACTATCATTCATTATTAATTAATATGATCGTTATGTTAATGTGGTGTTCATTCAACTCCTGTGTCAGAAAAATCATTGGTTGACTTAGAAGCTCGATGTGAGACTAGAGATTTGAAGTGTCTTTTGTCAACTAATGATCTTGTTTTTAACTTGTTATATCGTGTGAGAGCGTGCGTGCCCTGCTAATGTATGAACGTTATAAGACCGCCAATCAGAGAGCAGCGAATTATCGATTGGGACAGTGACACACGAAAACCATACTAGCAGTCCAGAGTGCTTGTCAGTCCTACTTTCTGCCTAGCCTAGCCAATTAAGTCCAGAACACCAATAACAGACTCTGCAATATGAATCATTATTCACATACATACTGGGTTTGTATACCAATCAAACAGATCACATCGTACCATAAAATAGAAAATAACATTTGTACAAGATTTGGCCAAATGTGGCTGTGAATAGGGGGAACGGTAATCAGTAGACTGGGGATAAATCAAGAATGGTAAATCGTATAATAATAGTTCATAGGTCAAAATAAAACTTATGATAAGAGGAACACGAACACGAATATTTAAGTTACTTAACAATTAAACGATAGGAAATATACATATTACATTGGTCCATAAATAGTCCTCGAAAGTTACCGTTCACAATTCTCTTCAGGATGCAACATAACCATTGGTTCTCATAATTCATATTGTGGCCTGTCAAAATGGATCAGCCCTTGTGTTTGAGTCAAGGCGAAGATCATCGTCCTGAAATAAAGTCTCTCAAGTGCATAGGCACAAACAGTGTGATTGAAGATGTGCCTTAAGACTTGGGTGAAGCGAATAGTGAGATGAATCCGGTTAAAATTCTAGATAAAATCAATTCACTTTTTCTTGAAATTTGTAGCTGTTTGTCAAGAGGTGCTATGCAATTCAGCCACGACTGGTTGGACAATATATGCTTCTGAGACCAAGTATTTAGTTCCTCAATATAGTTGGATTTGTGCACTGCACGTTCGATATATTACTCTCAATGACTACTGAAGCTTGTGGTGCCACATATAATAAAAATTTTAAGCACGATAATGTTAGCCCAGATGTGATTAGTGAGCTCCAAGTATTTAGACGCTGCTGTTTATAGTGTTATGAACTTTATCGAAAGTTCATCTCTCGACTTTATGAAAGGTATAGTGCATTAACGAAGTTTGAATACGGAGTTAAGGTTTTGTTTGTTATACCGATATTGGAAATAACGGCCATCGTCTGTGAAATCCTATCTTGTTTAGAGTTATTTCTTGATCCAGGATACATAACTTGGTTCATCGCATTCCTGACGATGTTACTAACGATAGCCTCAGTACTCGAATGGACAAGGATATATCGTCACACTACCTGTGCTCAAATAGTGCATCGTGAGCTAGAAATACATTAGGACAAAGTGGGAGAATCCTCTAGGCCTAACCGTAATGCAACAAATGCAGATGGTTGTCATTCGTAGTGACATGCAGCCCTCACATCGACCTATGTAATAATTTACAAGAATTTCTAGATATTATTAGCTGTTGCTAACAGTTTTTAATTGTTTTAGTTGCTTGTGCTAAGGATGTTATTGGAGAAGTTAGCTAAGGACTGTCGAGCGCATGGAGATACTGTAGTGATAAGAGAGATAAATGACTTTTCCTTTTGACAGGATATCAGGATTTGATAGAACACTATGTGGTTTAAGGAGATTTGGTTCCCTACCAGGCATGATGATGAATGAGACAACGTGCTGCATAATCATGTACATATATTATGGGATAATCCTATACATTATATTATTCGTGTTTCTAAGTAATCACGATATCCCACAGATAGCCTATTTGGCATCACTAACTTCTGTATCCGACTAGCCTACAAGATGCAGAACGCCGTTTAATAATTTTTTATCAGTGAATTGCCACTTAATTGTTACGTGAGCATCACTTGGTTTATCGATTTGTCTCTAATTATGGGTTGTCACTGGTCCAATGGTTTAGCCTAAGCGCAAATGGGTTAAAACACTACACGTATATGTTCCGTCGAGTGGATTCGATTAGTCACCTCATTCATAAAAAAGGGAAATTGATGGCTGCCGATCACATTAGTCGATGACGTCATTCCCAAGTATCGTAATGTGATATTGATGGTTAACTGAGGTTACGTTAGTTTTTAATCAGGAATTGAGTGGATACGACAGGGGAATGTTGGGGGAGTTGGAGGCTTGCTAGTTTGTTCGGAATTTGTGATAAAAAGTGTTGATCTGGTTAGCTTGTAACTGTACACAGTGAAACTATGAGGGAAAACGGTGAAGAGATGCACTAACCAGCCAAACTACCATGCATTTATTAGCCTAAAACTGTTGATAAGATTGGAGGCGTTTAGGTGTACTGCTATAGGTGATTTTACTTTTTGTATGCCATCGGGTGTAAAAGTATAGTTCGGTTGTCTGTATGCGGTTTTCTGTTCTTTCTATCCATTTCTGTACTGCCATCTCCATTCTTAGAAGAAAAAGCAAGGTGAAGCGGTTGCTTCAATGGGCAAAGAAGTGACACAGTCTTCTTTTGTTCAGAAGAAGAATAAGTGTAGCTCAAACATTTATATCTTGCACAGCCACAAGGGAGAAAACGTACCTTCATCCACGGATAAACAGGGGGATTCGACGTTTGTTAAGACGAAAGAAAGAGTTTCAACGTCGTCACCAGCTGTGGCATAGTACAAACTATGGATGATTACAACTTACTTATTTACTTGCAACTGTTACCCCTCGTCGAGGAGCATAGGCCGCTCAACAGCATTCTCCATCCAACTCTGTCCTGAGCCTTCCTTTCCAGTTCTTTCCAGTTAACATTCATCCTTTTCATATCGGCTTCTATTTCCCGGCGTACTGTGTTCTTTGGCCTCCAGCTTTTCCTCTTCCCTTCCGGATTCCAAGTTAGGGATTGAGTCGTGATGCACATTGGTGATTTCCTTAATGTATGTCCAATCCACTTCCAACGTCTTTTACTAATTTACTCTTCAGCTGGAAGCTGGTTTGTCCTCTCCCATAAAACGCTGTTGCTGATAGTATCCGGCCAATGGATGTTGAGTATTTTGCGTACGTAACTTTTTATAAATACTTGTACCTTCCTGATGATGGCCGTAGTAGTTCTCCACGTTTCAGCTCCATACAGTAGGACTGTCTTGACGTTCGTGTTAAAGATTCTGACCTTGAAATTAGTTGAGAGTTGTTTTGAGTTCCATATGTTCTTCAATTGTAGAAATGCTGCCCTTGCTTTGCCAATCCTCGCCTTTACATCTGCATCCGATCCTCCTTGTTAATCAACGATGCTCCCCAGGTACTTGAATGTTTCCACCTCTTCCAGAGTTTCGCCATCAAAAAGTTATTGGTTTGGTTGGTGTTCTCCGTGTTGTATTTGAGAATCTTGCTTTTTCCTTTGTGAATGTGGAGGTCTATCGATGCGGAGGCTGCTGCTGCATTTGCTGTCTTCATCTGCATTTGGTCGTGTGTATGAGAGAGGAGGGCTAGGTCATCTGCGAAGTCCAAATCATCTAATTGATTCTGAGCTGTCCATTGTATTCCGTATTTCCCTTCAGATGTCGAATTCTTCATAATCCAGTCAATTGCTAGAAGGAAGAGGAATGGGAAAGTAGACAGCCTTGTCTGACTCCGGTCCTTACTGGAAATGCATCTGTCAGCTGTCCTCCATGCACGACTTTGCACTGTAATCCATCGTATGAGTTTTGGATAATGTTGACAATCTTTTCAGGAACTCCATAGTGTCGAAGAAGTTTCCATAATGTTCTCCTGTCCACGCTGTCAAACGCCTTCTCATAGTCAATAAAGTTGACGTTTAGTGATGAGTTCCACTCAACTGATTGTTTAACGATGATCCGTAGTGTCGCAATCTGGTCTGTGCACGACCGATCCTCACGGAATCCAGCCTGATGATCCCTAAGTTCGGCGTCTACCGCGTCTTTCATCCGATTCAGCAGCACTCCGTTGAAGACGTTTTTTAGTACGGAAAACAAACTGATGCCTCCGTAGTTCCCACATTTGCTCAGATCTCCTTTCTTTGGTATCTTGATGAGATATCCTTCTTCCCAGTCCATTGGCACTTGTTCCTCTTCCCAAATCTTATTGAATAGAAGGTGAAGCATGTTTGCAGTTATTTCAATGTCTGACTTCAGTGCTTCTGCTGGTATATTGTCAGGTCCTGCCGCCTTCCCACTTTTGATTTGTCTGATGGCCATCTTGACTTCTTCGATCGTTGGTGGAGTGACATCTATTGGAAGGTCTGTGTGGGCTGCTTCGATGTTCGGTGGATTCAATGGGGCTGGTCTATTCAGCAGTTCCTCGAAGTATTCTGCCCATCTTTTCCTCTGTTCTTGAATCTCAGTGATTGTCCTTCCTTTTTTGTCCTTGACTGGTCTCTCTGGTTCGCTATATCTCCCTGCTAATTTCTTCGTTGTATCATATAGTCGTCTCATATTCCCTTCTCTTGCAGCTTTTTCCGCCGTCGTTGCTACTTCTCCCATGTATTTCTGTATTTCGTCTTAAACGCTTTTCTTCACTTCCCTGTTTGCTTCTGCGTAGTCTGCTTGTGCTTTGACTTTCTCTGCTCGTGTTCGGCTGTTGTTAATTGCTAATTTCTTGTTCT